AGTAGAGGGGAAAACTGGGGTACCCAGAGAAAAACCCCTTGGAGTGAGGGAGAGAAACAACCACAAACTCCAACCTAGCTACATATGGTGTCAACACTGGGATTTGAACCCGGGCCACGTTGATGGGAAGCAAGTGCTCTCACCACTGCACCACCCTTGCCCCCATAATAATGTGCAAAATAACTGTTATCTCTAGGACACGATCACTCTGAAAGGGCATTATGTTTCTAATACCAAAATAGATAACAGACAGATATGTGTTTACATGTAAGTAGTGACCATTATCTGAGCATTCCAAGTCCACCTATAATTCATAACAAAAAAGATTAATTACCCTTATAAGTTCACAAGAAACATTCAGCTTTGTAGGCCACCATTCTTATCATGTCTGGTATCATTCTGTTCAACATGTAATTGATGGAAAGCTCGACTTTATATTATGGCCAGAAAGTTTAACATGGTTGCTCTTTACTGGTAATTCTTTTTCTTCAAATAAAAAAATCTGGGAGAAAAAGAATGCCAATCAGTTTTGTGGCTATCTGAGCTTTCCACCAATTTCATATTGGATGGAATGATGTTATCCTGATGATCCAAACTTTTGCGTCATACCCTGTATTTTTAAAAAATTTTGTTATGACCTGAAGGATTTTGTAAGGTTAAGCAAACAAAGGTCTCAGTAACTAAGCGAAAAAAACAATTTGTTTTTTACCTGTGGCAGTATTTGTAGTACTAATGCTTATGGGGCCAAGCAAATGCGTGAAACAAATAATTTAAATCAAACATAATAGGGTTATGAATCCCAGCTCGCTGGAAGCAAACCAGTTGGCTATTTACTAGCATAACTGAGGAGTTGAACTCGCGACTACCGAGAAGAAACCCAGGTAGCTGTCAGGGCAGAACTTGAACTAGGGCTTTGGTCAAATTACAGATCCAGCACTCTAACTGCTTGACCACAGTGCCAGCCCAGCAAACTGTCATTGTTTTATTTATGATGGAAAAATGTTCTTTGTGGAGTTACTGCCCGTTTGGCATTATTCCAGATCTTCTTGTACATGAACCAGAAAAGAATAACAGATCCAGTTCTTCAATCCTAGTGCTGATATGAGAATAGAATACATGAATACCTGAGTATTATGTTTTAGGACTTGCTTGAAATACAAGCAGATGCAATAGAGAAAGGACAGAAGGTTGTTATACTAGATGACTTGCTCGCTACAGGGGGTGAGTAAACAAAAAGTTATAATTAGATGATATTTACAGTAATTTCATGTGACATGTATAATCAAATCATCGAGGAAAAGGATTTCAAAGGTTATGACCATCTATGTTCTTTTTTCTTATTTGCTATACAATAAAGTTTCATCTAGCTGTTTGAGGAAGCATTTAGCTATGGTTTAACTATGGTTTGTTTACTTGAAGTGGTCGAATTTTGTGTTCAGGCTATATATCCGAGCGCGCCTTAAAACCAAAAAAAGTAGGTAAGTTGATGTTTGTTTGATTATTTTTTACCAGGTACCCTTCAAGCAGCATGTAAGCTGGTTCAGCAGGCCGGTGGCGAGGTGCTGGAGTGTGTTCTGTTGGTTGAACTGGTGGAACTTAACGGAAAGAGCAAAGTACCTGCTCCCTGCTTTTCACTTGTTCAGTTTTGAACAGAAATTAATATTAACACACCACCTTTCTACATGTACATCTAATTCAAAAGATAGTTTGTGATTGGTTGACTTCAAAATCAGATTCATAAAGAAGTATTAGAACCTACTACACTCTAACCTTCCGTAAGAGACCAGTGCTAACATTTACAAGTACTGTGTAAGCTTGAGAGAGTCAGACTACAGGGGAAGCCTCCAGTGTGCTAGGAACCAGTTGGATATACCCAACAGTTTCAACAGTGGAACCTTGATATAACGAACCTCCATATAACGAAGTCCTCGATATAATGAACTATTTTCTCAACCCCAGAGGGGTCGCACTTGAAGGTTGGGCAGTATTTCAGGGCCAAGTTTCATAAATCTTTTAACGTTACTCGCAGAAGCTGGCGTGTACCGTTAAGCCCAGTAATTTTCTTTATTTTATCGCCAGAGATAAATAGGTTTTATCCAACAGGTCCCTAACTCAGTCCTTCGTCAGAAATCTGATTTTGAAGTACCCATTGTTGACTTAACATAGGTACGGGAAATCAATAAATCGTTAAACGATGATTTTGAGTCTCCTCTTCAAGATTTTTTTGTAGAAACGAAAAACAGTAATGCCAGAAAAGTTGATCTAGGGGCATGATTGCATTCGTTAGATTATATCTTTGGTAATGGTTAGACGAATGTTCATTTTTGACGTTTCTTGTATAACATTGAACGGTTCTAGAAGGTAGCTTAATTTTGATTGATCAAACTTTTGGAATCTTTTGAGACTCAAATATTAGGCTGGTTTACACGGACAAGTCAACCTGAAGTCGGTTGAACTTTACGTTGAGGTTATTGCAAATCCCTTTTTGTCGATATCTTCAGTGGCTCAGTTGTCAAGTACACATCCCAAAGCTCGTTTGAATTTCCAGAGAAAGTTTCAGCCACTGAAATGTTATCCAGCTTTGAGAAAGCGTACTGGAGAATTGAGCCACTATCAGCCGAACGTTGGTTAACTGTCATCACATACTGAGGTTCCATTCACGTTTGGCGCTACAACTCGTGGTGGTGGGGGGTGACTATACGGGGAGGCTCCGCCCGAAAGGGATATCTGGCTGTGACAATGTGTAAAATCCATAATGATCTTTCCCCGTTGTATCCGAGACGGATCTTTACCAACACCTCAAATGTACACACACACAATCGTTAGAAATTCTGAGTTAAATTATGTTCCGAGACTCAGAGCTGAGTCTGCAAACGGGAGCCTACACTACAGAGAATCTGTTCTATGGAACAAGATTTCCTCAGAGATTAGAAACCCGCCTAGCTGAAGTATCTTTAAAACTTCTTTTCATGGGAAAGATTATTTAATACACCATGAATCATTGTAACTCTTATTATAATTTGATAGTCAAGTAGCTCCTGAGAGTATTTTAGTTAAATTTTACACACGATTCTTAGGAAAACCATGTAAAAGTGATACAATGTCGTGAATAAATAAAGATTGATGATGATGATGATGATGATCTTTGGAAGGATTGATAAACATTGTTACAGTACGGTTATAACACCTACCTTACCCAGTTTTTGTTTATCTCAGATGAAAACGCTCATTACCGTCCGTTCCTCCAACTGAACTGGAGCTAACCCGAGTTAATGCTCCATGGATCTTCTTGTTCTTGAGCAAAAGCCTTGTCAGTTCAGGAACAAAGAAACCGTCGGAGAATAGGATCAAAGTGGCCGGGTTTAAATCCCGGAGGCGACGCCATAAACCGGTTAAGTCAGTCTGTTGTTGGTTTTCTTCCTTGATCCGAGAGGTTTTTCTCCGGGTACTCCGGTTTTCCTTCTCGTCAAAAAGCAACATTTTGGCAAATGCCGCTCGCTCTGGAGATTGGAACAAACAAGTTGGATGTGTTGCCACTAAAATCATATATAAGTTACTTTAAGCAGCTGCGGCGAAAAGTGTAATTTTTTTTTCCACAACACCGAAGAAAGAGAACCCTAATCAATAATCCTTGATTACTTTGGAAGCAAAGGACTATGAGCATTCTACAGGAGGAACATCGTGAATTTTGGTTTTGCGGAATTGACCGTTTTTGGAATCGTTTTTATGTTTTTGCATCGAAAATATGCGACTTTTTGGTTTTTTCGTCTCTCTCGTTTTCCACTTTCGGAATTCGGTTTTGAATCAAAACTTAGAAAAGCGATTATTTACTGTAAGTAAAAAGAAAATTTCCGTCCTTTTGCAATTGTGGCTTTTGCGGTTAATTTTTTGCGGTTTTGTGGTTTTGTAATAAAGGAGCTCGCCAGATTTGATATAACATGCAAGCGCGCATGAAAAATACTCGCTACGTTTTCCTGCTTTTTTTTATTGATTTAAGAGTTTATTTTTTCACATCGAGGTCAAGGATAAGTAACCTTAAAAAGTGTCTCAAGGATGTAGAAGCTAACATTAACTAAAGGAAGTTCTATTAGTTTTCCTTATAGCCGGAAAATCTTACTGTCCATTTTCCATCAGTTAGCCAACTCTTCAGGCACATTTTTGGGCGCTCCGCAGTTTAAACTCTCGCCACATTTCGTATTTCGCTACTCGGTTCATGGTCCACCAACAATGTGAAGTATTCAATCCCTCCTTTTCGTAATAAAGCTAATTGATAAAGGAATTTTAACAGCATTACGGAGCCTTCCGTTATGGCGCACGATTACTGCGGTACGCTGTTTGGCATGAAGCATTTAATCAAGCTGAAGGAAATGAAAAAAAAAAAAAAACCGAAACCCCTTGTTTAGTGATTTCGAGAACAAAGGAACGAAGCAATAAAATTCAAATTAGTGATTGCTTTCAAAATTCGACCCTACCCAATTTACGATCATTAGAGAATTGTACATGTTAATTTGGTTCTCGCTAAGGCTTTCGTTCTTAAACAATAGCTACTTTTTGCAAAACTTGGTATCGTAGCTAAGCTGTAGGATGAAATATCAACTACCTAAAGCCTATGAAGCCTTGCTAAGGAATTTCAGTCCTGCTAGCTGTCAAAATTGGCATTTTCTGTCTTTCTTGTTTATTCACTTCAACAAACAACTCTTTTGATTTCAGTTAAAGCTTTGTCAATCAATCAAAAGCGAAAATTTACTGAAACAAAAGAGCGACGTGTTAATATATTCGAGGATATTGCAGTAATAAGAGTAAACTGTCGTTGTTCTTCCGATACATTCTTGAAGCTTGAATCACTGAGAGCGGTCAACCTCTCAATTCACTACTGAATATTTGCACGCGACAGGAATTCAGAACAAATTTCTATACAGACGCTCTGTAAACGCCAGCCCTACGTAAACTACGGCCAGCACGTAGTGAGCAAAAGGTTAATTGCCTTGTACTGCACTAAGATGAAATTTGAAGATGTTTATGAGGTAAAGGAACTAATTGGAAAGGGATCTTTCGCGGAGGTAAAGAAATGTGTTCATCGGAAAACGCTACAGCTGTTTGCAGTCAAAGAAATCCACTACATCAATGCAGAGGAGAGAGAGAAAGTCGAAAAGGAGTCGGAGGTTTGTATGCTTTGATATTGGCCCAGTGGAGAAGGGATTTAGCAAAAGGTATCGAGTTAAGGGCGATGCTTTGAAAGTAAAACGCGCGGTTTTTATGGTTGAGTGAGTGCATCGCAAAAACGATTGATCAGTAAGCCCTGGCTAAAGGGTAGCTGGTCGTAGTGAGAATAAATTTAATCAGTGTTCAGGGCTGTGAAAACATCATGCTGCATAGATTACTTGTCTGCGGACTTAGAGCGTCTGTAATTAAACAAATCCACTTAAAGGAGTCATTTTGATCACGGTTATGTTTGTTTTCAAACCAATTCTTCTATAACTTAGTGCTGTAACCGTAAGTTTCTGATTTCAGTTGGCAATAAATGTTAGACTATTATATGAAAGGAAAAGTATTTTTTTCTCAATACTCTGGATCGTTCTATATAATTTGAATATTTCTTAATAATCAACGGTTATGTGGCTTATCATATATTTTAACATCAACCAATAGTCTTAAAAGGAAGTCCTGCTTCATTACTTCTAGCAATGACATGAACCAAAACCTGCACCCAGAACTGACTCGCGATTACTTGTGATTACAAAACAAACTGAACTGCTAAGAAAATACAGCTTTATAGTGTCATCAGCATTTCGGCTATAATTTAAACTTTAGGTTAATTTACTGAGTTGTCTTTCAATGTATATGATATCTCGGGTTAGTATCCATGAATTCGTTATTCAAATAACAATATAATTAAACATGCGTTTTAAAAACTAATTATGTAGAATCTGGTAGGCTTAAATTTGGGGCCTTAAAAACCCTATGTTATAAGAAACAAGTTCTTATTTTGAAATAAAAATACACACTTCAGCATGAAAGAAAACTTAAAGTTTATAAGGCAATCACCAAATTTACTGTACAGTATAAAACATTTATGTGCTTTCTGGACTCAAAATCTTTTTCTCTACTTAGCACTAAGGTTTGGACCAGCCTATATTACGTTTCAAAACACGTTTCTCATTTTTGGATTTGAGATTATTACCCAATTAACACGATACGTTAGCTAAATTGTTTTACGACTTCCGCCGGGTCTTAATTGTTTACAAAATATAGTCCAATACTTTGGGTTTGCTAATACTCTTGTTGCCAAATTATCGCTCAATAAAAATACTTTTTTTCACGGCACAAACACAATTAACAATGTGATCATTATGCGTCTTTTTTCTACTTCAAAAATGGTTTTGGCTTTTTGATTTCCAATACAAAGAGACCTCTTGACCGTTGCGCTGCTTTTCAAAGTAGTGTTAATGGTCTACTATCTCATCAGCATGTAAAGCCGGTTAATGAAAAATTTTTTTCGATCGAGCGGGTAGTTAAAATCGGTCTGGAACTGTTTTTTTTTTTTCAATAAAATTACCGTAAAAACCCGAGACTACTCAAGGACTTGGATTTTCCATGTTACTCATAAACAGGTTCTTACATAAATTTTAATTAGCACAAATTTTTTAGGCTGTTTAGGGTCTTCAAGAGGTTCTTACTTTCAGGAACATAAACTCAGCTCATTTCTTAAAATAAAACCTGAAACCATTACAACTACAGTTGGAGAGATAAGGCACTGTGTCTCCAAAGAGGATCCTGAATGTTGACATANTCAGAAGTTTATATAGTTCACAATTTAGAATTCACCTGTCATGTTTAAAGATGAATATTAGCTAAGTCATGAGCACGTTATAAAAGGAAAAATATAAAAGCGTTAAAACAAAGCTTTCTCGATATAAATTGAAATGCACACATTCGCCAGTGTGACAGACTTCCGTTTTTTAAATAAAGTTGTGTTAGAACAAATTGAGATTGCAAATGCTATCATCTCCCAGCAAAATGGGCACATTTATGTTGTATGCTTTCAAACTGGCATTGTTCAAGCAGATTTGAGTGGTCCCCCCTCTGAATCCTTCCAAAATTTTCAGTGATCCCCCCCTTTTGGGCTCTCAGTTACGACTGATCCCCCCCTCTGTTCTCTTAAAAATCAAGTGATCCCCCCCAAAATCCTCCGACCCCCCCCCAGGTGATAAATAATGACCGGTCCCTTAGGGTCTTCAAGAGGTTCTTACTTTCAGGAACATAAACTCAGCTCATTTCTTAAAATAAAACCTGAAACCATTACAACTACAGTTGGAGAGATAAGGCACTGTGTCTCCAAAGAGGATCCTGAATGTTGACATATCTTTTTGTCCAAGTTTACAGAATTTTTTTTTTTAAAGATTTTAGAAAATAAGAACCTGTTTCAAATTTTAGGCGAAACGGGTTTTTGTATAGACGAGGCCTAACTAGCAAATTTTTCCCAACAGGTTATTAAAAACCAGGTTAGTTCTTAGTGGCGGGTTTTACTGTACTCTTTGCCCAAATTACATTTATGGATTACTTTTACTGTCATTACAGTGATATTAATATGGCAGGGACCAATATGAGGTCTCAACGAAGAAAACTTTGTTCCCGGAACAAATGATTTCGGATACCCATGAATGGAATGCTTGCTCTGTTCCAGGCTTTCTTTTCGTTCGTTATAACACGGAGAAGTACAAACATGCTTCGCGATCTTGTGACATTTAATTTTTCTTTGCTTCGGGGCAGGGGTTTCTTTCCCTTTGTGATATTTGGCTTTTGTTGTCTCAGTGTATATTAAACCACTTGCTTGATCAGATGCTGGACATAAGCTAGCCTGCGTGGCAGGCGTTCGAAAGGGAAGGGGAAGGGAATTAGAGCGCCTTAGACATAAGCATGAATAATTCTTCGCTGCATTTTCTCTTTCTTTCCCTGTCTGGAATTCCTAGCTGTTCCAAATGGCCTGTCAACATTGATCCCAATGCCCCAACTTTATACCACTGGTCCAGTGGTGCTTCAATATAACGAAGACCCAGGGGACTGACAATTAATATGTTTGTTATAATATAACGAGGTTTCGATATATCGAATTTTGTTTTTCATATCACTATTTTTCTATTACTGGGGTTAAAAAAATAGTTCGTTATACCGAGGACTTTGCTATATAGAGGTTTTTTACATGAGGCAGAGATTTAGGTTCCACTGTACAACTCTGGTCTTTGTATCCCACAAACTCTTAAACTATCTTGCCAGGACTTGATACTTCACTTGCTCTTCCATTCCTATGGTCGTTTTCACACCTGTTAGCCGATGGTTGCCAGGCAACAAATGGTTGCTTAAGGTGACCCATGGTAAAGCAAGACTCCCCGATGACATATTTCTCAGCGATCCAACACCTTTATTGGAATTCTTGAGGTGCCCATAATACCACAGGTGTAGCCACGCCAATGATGATAGTGATAATAATGATGAAGATGATGACGATTTATTATGATTTATTATGATTATTATTACTACTACTTTATGGCCGGGGACTATATTCCTGAGCCGAGTTGTTCAAAGCTGGGTTAAGATAACCCAGAGTTAGTGCGAGATTTGGATTCAGATTTGAAAGCTTAAAAAGCATTTCAGTTTTAATTCCTTTTGTCTACATGTTGATGATTAGAAGCTCTAAAAATAACAGAGAAAATTATCCGAGAAAATTCTTTTGAACATAAGAAAAAGGAAACCCGGGTTAAATTTAACCCCGGGTTAAGCGCTAATCGATCTTCGAACAACTGGGCCCTGGACACTACTTATGAAACTATATCATACTTATAAGTATGATGAGGCAGTGTATTCAATGTTTTAGTGAATAGTCTGAAAGCTTTCAGTACAAAACTCACATATTTGTAGCTTTTAAACATAAAGCTGCTCAGTGACGTGAATATCGTCTGCTTTACCTGCTTTACCTGCAGATTCTGGAAAGGCTTGATCACATGAGCATAGTTCGTCTGGAGCAGGTGTTTTATGCTGAAGGCAAAGTGCTAATGGTGTTAGAGTATCTTCCTGGCGGGGATTTGTTTGACGGCCTGGTGTCGAGACCTTATTACAGCGAGAAAGATGCATGCGCATGTGCTCGACAAATCATAATGGCATTAAACTACCTCGCTAGAAAGGGAGTCATTCACAGGGTAAGAAAATAATAAATCATAGCTAAAAATTACTTTATCATTATCGTAATTATGGTTGCAATGAGGTGCACGAGATTTTTATGAGACTTTAGTTCAAACGCTTCACAGAAATCATGGATCTCAGTACGTAGACTGAAGCGTTCCGAACTGCTTCGTTGAAAAAACTTTCGCGAGAGCAAGCCATCTTTCCACCTTTCGTGTATCATCACGGGCTCAGTTTCGTAAAGCAAATCGCTCCCAAATTGATGCGCCTGTATGGTTCAACTGGATAAAACCGGTTTTAGAACCTGTTTATCGCGTGTCTACCTCCAAGATTTTGGAGGTGTCTAAAGAGCATGCTCATCGAAAACCATAAGCGGCTTGCTGCAGAGGTTTCTCAACGGAGTGTAAACAAAAAGGGAGCTTAACATGCCACTACGGCCACGGCAACGAGAACGTCAAAAAGCAATTGGTTAAGATTAGCAAAACAGCACTGCACGTGCACAGTCACGCTTTTTTTTACATTTTATTACCGTCACTGCACGACCACGACGTGAGTTGCCTAATTTCACGTTTTATCGACAACGTGAACATACGACGACGAATCTCTCTTACTCTTTTTGTAAACTTGGAAATATTTTTTGTAAGAATTCAACTCCAGGAGATTTCGCGTACATAAAACATAGTGACCGAATTGGGATAATCTCGCTAAAGTTTCATAGATCGCGAAATCACTTTTTAAACTTCGTTTTTGCCGCCGTCGCCGTCGTGGTATCTTAAAAGCAGGGCGGATAAAGGTTGCGCGGTGAAACGAGCGCGTCCGAGCAAAAAGGTGTGATGCAGTGGACTGGGACTCTGCTTACAAATGTCGCTTGTTTTCGACTTCTTGCGATGTGGTTTGTCCCGGTTTGTCCATTAGACACTGCCGCTGTCACTTAATTATGGCGGCTTGATTTGTTTTCTTGTACTTCTTCCTCGTTCCTTTGTGCTGGTACGCTGTCTCCGAGAGGCAAATGTTGCTATTTTTTGCGGGAGGTTTAGCTGGAGTAGACAAACATCTCTTTCAAAGGGTTTCTTTTATTACTTCCATAACTCTTCCACTGAATTATATTTTCGTTCTGCTACTTGCCAATGTCGATGTTATTCCAAAACAACAACAACCAAGTACTGTCTAAAACACGAAGGAAAATCTAATCGATGTCATCCATGACAAAACTAAAAGACAGCAGATCGTGTTTCATAACTAGATGAGGTGTATTTTATAAATGCGTGCAGCTCGTGCAAGGTGAAATTATACTAATTTCAATCACCATCATATCATCCTTCTTTTTAATTTTGAAAAAAACATCTCATACGTCTTTCTGTTTCTTCGAAACTTCAAAATTAGTTTTCCCTCAGTTTTTACTGTTTATCTTGTTTTGTTTTAGAGAGAAGAACGGAGAAAAAACCTTACAACTAACCTCAATAAATTTTGTTTACATGGGGTTGCCGGATTTGCGACGCATTGCTCGAATCACCGTGGCGCGTTGCACCCAAGAAGCGAAGTTTGAAGCAGTACAACGCCACTATATCAAAATATATCAATCTAATTTTCTGTTATGTTATATAAAATTTATCCCCCTTTAACATATGTAAAAATTGAGGTTGAGAAATGTTAAGCTTTTGCAAACGAAACGCCGAAAGACAATTAGGTAATATGTAGTGGAAGGAGGAGGTATTCAACACTTTCAAATTAAACTCAAATTTTGGCATTATACGACCAAGAAGTTAGACTTATAGGCATACAGATATAAACATATGAAACTGTTTATTGCTATTGTTATGAAAAGAATTTATCTATTTAACATTGTAGCCTGAAATTACAGAAAGAAAATAGGATTTCCGGTTTGCTAAAAGGAAAATTTCGCCGGCCTTCAAGCGCACCGGAAGCGCGGAAAGAGCGCTCGTGCCAGTCCTACTCCGCATCACACATTAAATGAAGAGCGGAGCGCTCGTTTCACCGCCCAACATTTATCCGCCCTGCTTAAAAGAGAATATAAAAAACGACGACGGCGACGTCAACGAGAACGCCAATAACGCAATATAGGTTTAGACTGGCAAAACAATTGACTTTACGCGTGCATCACGCTTTTTTGTACATTTCTTTGCCGTCGTTGCTCGACTACCACGTGATAGTGTCTAATTTCACGTTTTGTCGAGGACGGGAACACAAGGCAACAACTTTCCTTTTCTTTTCCTGAACTTTGATACAGTCCTTTAGAATTCAACTCCAAAAAAATTTGCCAACATTTGACGAATTAAACGAGATGGAATAAGCGCGGCAAAGTTTGAGGCAGCGCAAATTCACTTTTTAAGTGACGTTTTCGCGGCCGTCGCCGTCATCGTTGCGTAAGTTCCCTTTTAAACTCCCTAACGGACAACGCGACAGACAAGCCAAGCGAACGTCTTTGTAAATGCTAAAAGTCATGCAAGAGAGAAACTTCTACTCGCAGGGTAATGTGGACAAAACGTTAAAAAATAATCGCTCGTCTGCTACAGTGCAGTCACCTAGGCTTGCGTTACTCCTTTTGGTGCCTCACAGTTACAAAGACGAAAACTTTTTGTTTAAACAGCAGTGTACGCTGGTAAACACGAGGGATTAGATTTAACAGTAAACTTTTTTTTACAGGACTTAAAGCCAGAAAATCTTCTGTTAGCCGAGAAGCCTTCGGAAGACCGCCCACCTATCATTAAACTCACGGACTTTGGAATTGCGAAGTCGATCGAAGGTAACATTTAAAGTTATCGGCACACCGTAATTATTGCAATTGTTACAACGAAAGGCGTCAAAGGGGCTTGACTTACTATTTTTTAGAATTGATGTTGCAAAGACAATGAAATTTCCTCAGTTATTTTGTTTTACAGACGAACGTAAAGTGGTTGATTGTCATGGTAGTGGATCACCAATGTACTTAGCACCAGAAACAATCTTTGAGAAGCCTGTAGGCTTCGCTGTGGACATGTGGGCCTGTGGTGTTATCCTGTATTTGTTACTTGTAAGTCATGCCTTTTCTTTCCCCTTCCACTCCCACAATACGTTGGGCAGCCTGTATACAGACGCCCTCTCCCCTAAAAAAAAAAAGTCGGGGAGAGGGACTCCCTCTCCCTAATTTTTTTCTGAGGGGAGGGGAGCGTCTGTACACCGGCTATTCGTTGGGTACCAGAGGCTTTTCCTCGCCTGCGAGGAGGAGCCTCGTGCGGCCGACACGTCTTCGGCCGAAGACACGAGCGGCGGTCACTTTTTAAGACTTGTGACCGAAACCGGAAAGCGCGCATGAAAAGCCTCTGGCACCCAGGGTACTCCCAAAAGTAACTAATGTAAATAAGACAAAAATGCACACTACATGACCAAATTGCGAATATCTGAAATCTCCATTTGTTTATTTATTTCTCTTATTTCACTTTTTAGGTTGGCTATCCTCCCTTCTGGAACGAAAGAATAGAGATCCTGTTACTGAGTATATTACAGGGAAATTACACCTTTCCTTCTCCCTACTGGGATTCAGTATCTGAATCAGCCAAGGACTTGATCAAGAAAATGGTAGGTTTCAAAAATAAAGTCATAAGTTATTCTCAAAAAATTTAGGCTATATCGGATGGCTTTTCATGCCTACGTAAAAAGCTATAGTGTGGACACCCAACCATTATGTGACATCTCTACTATTAATAGGCCACTTCCGAGTTCCAAAAACGCTCACTTTCAAAATGAGGCCAAGTGCAGTGTTGCATAAGGTGGGAGAATAGCCTCTTGAAGACGAAGAAAGCGAGCAGATCGTCCTTCGGCTTCAGAATGAGATGAGGCTGTATTTGAATCCATTGGTCGTTCCTAGTTGTTTATTTTCAGCGAGCTCGATGATTTTTTTTATTTGTTAAAATTTATGGTTCAAACGTCAACACAACAGTCATCTTCAAGATTTGCTTCTCAGTCATCCTTCTTCTGAAACTACACTGTATCTTTTTTCTTGCAGTTGAAAGTAAATCCTGATGAAAGAATCACCGCTTCTGAAGCCCTACGTCACGACTGGATTTCCCAAGGAGATTTTGTCCCTTCTCTCAACAGGAAAACGACGCTTGTTCGACTCACAGCATTCAACGCTCGGAGAAAACTAAAAGGAGTAGTTTTGGGACTTATTGCTAGGAAAAGGTATGGCGGCCTCTTTCATTCTAAGAACAGCATCTGACTGCTTTACTGTAACCTCAGTCATTACCGGTAATATCAGTAGAATATTAAGGCTGTTCAAGTCATTTCCATTCCATTAGTTTTGCAGCTGCTTGGATGCTCCCTGGCAATCTCCTTATCGAATTTTGAATTAAAATTTGTCCTTACTTTTTATTAACTAACAAAGAGTGTATATTGTGAACATTGCTATTAATATTATCCTGTTGTAATTAGACCGTTAAGACGTTATTAAAATATAGTAAACTGAATTGAATTGACGATAACAAATTGATTTTAAGGCTTTTTCAAAGCTACATTTGACTTAGTTGTGGATTCTCAAATGCGCAAGTTTCTTCTGAAAAATCTTTTCGTAGGTTCTCAACACTAGCTGGTAATTGAACTCAAGCCTATTATGGGAGCATTACTTAGAAGTACTACGGATTCAGTGGATCGGGGGAGGCGGGGGGAAGGGTTTGTCCCCACTCAGAAGTCTCCTGAATTATTATGCTATACTGAATGGTTAACTCATTGGTATGACTATAACGCCGAAATCATTTGAAGTCAATTTCTACTCTAAGTTCCCAGAGTTCCTTGTTGGTACCATTACTTTGAAACTAATCGACGATTGTGTTTTTTTATAGACTCAATTTCACTCCAAATAAAAATGAGGTTCGATTGTCGAGAAGGGATTCATACACGCCTGATCCGCAACTAGAGCAGGAAGTACAAGAGATACTGTCACATCAAGAAGAAGAAGAGCAAAGACTTGAAAAGATCGTTGAAGAAGTCAATGGACACAATAATCTCTTAGCTACGTCACCTACCGAATATCATCTTAAGGATATAAAACCGAGGAGATCTCGACAGTTTCGGAGTTCCGTGCACATCAAAGTTAAGGCAGGGGAAGAGAAAACGAGAGAGAGAGCCGCCAGAACAAGGGCCGACGAGACATAGTACTTTATTGACTTTGTCTATTATCAGAGAGGTGGATTAGAGGAGACTGTGAGCGCATGCAGAAGGCATAGTGGATGCAGTTTCTATTAAGACTAGGTCTATGAACTACGAGAACAAGACTTTCTCAATAATAAGTAGTGCGCGCGCGTTAACCAGGGTCATTTTGGCGGGAAAACGTTATAGCCATGCATCATCATCCTACTAAAAGTTTTAGCAAAAAATGGTTATCAAATATTAATAATAATACTAATAATTTATGAACTTATTGTGCGCAAGTTAACATGAGAATGATCAGCTGCGCATTACTTGTTGCAAGTTTTATCATTTTGCGATCAGGAGAAGGTTTAACCTCTTTAACGAAAATAACCTTGTCAACTTTTCTGGTGAAAAAAAANCCTACCGAATATCATCTTAAGGATATAAAACCGAGGAGATCTCGACAGTTTCGGAGTTCCGTGCACATCAAAGTTAAGGCAGGGGAAGAGAAAACGAGAGAGAGAGCCGCCAGAACAAGGGCCGACGAGACATAGTACTTTATTGACTTTGTATATCATCAGAGAGGTGGATTAGAGGAGACTGTGAGCGCATGCAGAGGGCATAGTGGATGCAGTTTCTATTAAGACTAGGTCTATGAACTACGAGAACAAGACTTTCTCAATAATAAGTAGTGCGCGCGCGTTAACCAGGGTCATTTTGGCGGGAAAACGTTATAGCCATGCATCATCATCCTACTAAAAGTTTTAGCAAAAAATGGTTATCAAATATTAATAATAATACTAATAATTTATGAACTTATTGTGCGCAAGTTAACATGAGAATGATCAGCTGCGCATTACTTGTTGCAAGTTTTATCATTTTGCGATCAGGAGAAGGTTTAACCTCTTTAACGAAAATAACCTTGTCAACTTTTCTGGTGAAAAAAAAGAGTAATATTGAGCTTTCCGGGATGTCTACTTTTTAAGAATGTGCAAAAAAAACCTTCAAGTCAAATCTCGTTCTCCTGGTCGTCCTTGAATGTAAAGGTCTCCATTACTGAAGAGATGCAAGAAAAAGGAAGTAATTTATCTAAGTTATCATAAAAGTAGCTAAAAGTGTTTCAACGCTTTTTTTGCTCGTGTCAGCCATTAGAAAGCGGGCAGTTATCTGATAGGAATATTTTAAAATATCATCGCAATCTTCAAGGACGCATTAAGCACAGAAATAATGACCGACCTTATGAATTTGACCTAAAGACATAGAGTAGGTTGAAGATAATTGTGTGACTGACTTAATTTCTTCAGGACTATCGGTGACAGTTAAACAATCACTTTTTCAGAACTCGCAATCTAGAGTTACAGTATTATAAATTACAGTCCTATAAAACCAAAAAACCCGCAAGACACTCTTCATTGGCCTTAAAAAACATTATCAGGCTCATAGTTACACAATGACACCCCATTGGCGCCCACGAAAGGGTCACGAAAATCTAGTATACTAACAAGATGTTTAAATAAGAAAATGAGTGAGTTTTGCGTATTTTGATTTAAAATAAAAAGAGTGAGGGAGCGTCAATAACGAGATTTCCCTTTTCACCATTTTTAAGGTGCGCGTGTGAGAGCGGGTCGGTGTTGTATTAAATTACGTTAAGGGACTATTTTGTGAGTGCTCATTTTTACAATGGCTTTCACGCGGTTGCTCAGAAAACTGAATTCGAATATTTTGCAGCGACGATAAAAAAAGTTTGATTCAAAATGTTCATTGGTTGAGATTTAATTAGGGGTCATCACAAGAATCAGAATATAAGAGACAAAAGTTGTGGAAAGCAGGGATGCTCTCTTCATGAAATTTGTTACATGTTTTTGCTCAGGAACTGATTTGTAACCCAAAACAATCCCATAGTGCAATTCAACCCACTCTCATCAAGCGCCACCTCAATTTATAACGTCAGTAGCCTGAGAGAAAATCCGACATTTCCCCACGTCATCACTAGTTACCCCGCCAAATGAAGTCCAATCAGTGCTTCTGATTGGTCATGCCGCGATGGAAATTTACTTCAGCCAATCGTAGGCACTACCCAGATTGAGATAGTGAACCAACTTCCTCCTCAGGCGCTTCGTTTTTCGCATCGTAGAGGCGAGCGCGAAACGCGAGTGACTGGTGATGAACCGCAAGAGACGATGGGAAGGGTCGCCCGTTGTCTCCTTCCCGCCTTCCTTGGCGTTCACATTTTCATCGAGAGAGAGACGTCTGGGTACGAGGCAGGTAGTGACACGTAATCAGTATGAAATCTCTGTTCTCGTTTCTCAGACGTCATTTCGCGGGAAACCAGTGGTGGCGTCGCGAAATGTCGGCTGTTTTCTCAGGCTATTGTCTAGTCCTATAATTAATTTCGAAGTTCAGGAAAACGCAAGTAAACTGAAATGGTTTCTATTTTAATTAAAAATGAATGAAACCCTGGCAGAGCTATTAATGTTTTGATTTATTTTGTTCATGAACGTGACCAAATCTGAAAATGATTCATTAAATTAAACTTTTTGGTAGCCATACGAGCAAGCCTTTCGGTAACCTGAGATCAGGTTCTATTTTCGTTTCGCTTTGAAAATAACATTCCGGCGGGCGAGGCGAAACGAAAATAGATTTTTGCTGTGGCCGTTAGAGAGAGAATGTATGAGAACCGCTAAAATTGGGCCTGATCTCAGGTTAGCCTTTCGGTAGAAGTGAAGGAAATCCAGGGCTTGTACTCAGGTCTCCGTTGAGAATTCGAATTTTCATCTTCAAAAAATTCGATTCAAAATGAACGCTCAAGACAAAAATGATGGAAAGCAGGGATTCTCTCTTTGAAGAACTTCCCATGGTGTTTAGTTAAATAAAGACCCGACGGAACTAAAGTAAATTTGATTCTTGCTGTCTTCTCATCAGGATTTGGCAAAACTATTTCCTGCCGAAGCTGCCTTAGTTGGAATCGTCGCAAATCTGGTGTCTGAAGGTGCAGGCAAGAAAAGTTTTCAGAAATGATCAAGAATAAAGAGGAAAGGGACGGTTGGACTATTTACTCTGGGAGCAAACGAGCAAACGTAGCCCAAAAAAGCAAAAAATTGAAATATTTCAATATGTTGATAGGAACAGCCAAATGGAAACTTTTGAACAGACTTTATCTTTATTCTTCGCGCGGTTATTACACTGGACACTTGTCTCTCAAGACAGTAAATACTACTAAGTGGTCTTTTACTAAGCTGTTAGGTTGTTCCTGAGGGAGTGGAAGTCTTGATCAGCAGTAAACCCAGATCTTTCTAAGATATCTTTCTCTTGTTAAAAAGAAAGAGAACAAAATTCCTGACTGACTTTGGCAGCGCGAAAAGAGAATAATATACAACCTAACTTGTGATCAAGCGGAATTTTGCCTCACTTTTTATAGAGTGGTTTTCGTTTGAGTGTCGTAAAACCAAAACCAAAGTAATTACTCTGGCCAATCACATAGGACACAGACAATACATTGAACCAATCAAAACTCGAAGTAATTACATGTGGCTGACGCAAAGCGCGGGAAAATGCATGCGAGCGCGTCACAATTGGCTTTGGTTTTACTTCTGATTGGATGAAAAGGTTGCGCGAATCTTTTAAGCCAATCGCATCGTGTAGAAAGTGCAAAACCAATTACTTTTCGACACTCAAATGAAAACCGCTCTATTATTAATACCTTGCAACAAATTGAGCTTGACCGCAATGAAATCGTAAGTACGTGCATTGATCATTTAGGACATACTCGAACCAGCATGACACTTACTTGTTTATTACGTCACGATACAGCGATTATTACGTCATTATAATATAATCATTTTGCGTTAAGAGATCATTATGATCTCTTGATAGGATTTGAAAAATTAGCACATTTTATGATAACTGTATATAAATTTCACTTGACGTGCGAATAATAGCTTGAGTCGAACCTTCGGAACTCTGCTGATAAACATTCTAGCTAGAGAGCAAGCTCTATTCCTAGAAACATTGATCAAAGGATAAAATACGAAAACACGGCATGTTTGCCTGGTTTTGTGTTTGGTCAGTGAAGTAAATCAAACTGATTATCTACTCAAGATATTTTGAATAAGAATGTAAGTCCTAACACCTTGTTATTGACTTAAGATAACGTGACGGCTTGGCGAGTTCGACCGGCTAAAAAGCACCCTTTCAAATCCTCAAAGCATTGGGTCATTGCTCAATCACAGCAAATTAGTGTGACTCTGAAATCAGTCTGGATGACAGCGCCTGATTTCAAACGTCGTACCAAAGGGTCCCGATCCTGTGGAGTTATAAATTGTCAATCAAGTACTAGCACCTTAATCTTCTTGTAAAACTGTGGTCTTTCTGCCAAGCTGTGGTACAGCGCTGCAACAGTTGAACTGCTTGTAACTGAACTGCTGAAGTCATGGAATTCGTGTGCCAGTATGATGTAAGAGAAATTCTGGGTCAAGGCTCTTTCAGCGAAGTAAAAAAATGTATCGATAAAAGGACGAGACAAGCCTTCGCAGTAAAGGAGAGAGTTTACAATACCGACGAGCAGAAAGAAAGAATCAAGACAGAGATACAGGTGAGGTGAAATATTCATAGATCGGCGAAAAGTTCTCAGTGAAGGTAACACTCTCTAGAGTTCCGATTACGCCGGGGAATTCGACGGACTAGGAATACGCTCGTGAAGTTATATTCAGCCGATTACTTTAAGTACTTAGTGGCCTTGTTTATGGTTGTATTGCATAGAGTGAAAAGATTGGACAAAAAACCATCATTTGCAATATTGAACGTTTATTCCGCCCGTAATTTCTGACTGAGTAGCAGTTCGGTTTTCGTACCTTTAAAATGTCGAGGTGTTTCTCTGAAAAACAATAATAACTATGATAAATAACGCATAAAAATGAATGTAAAGTGTTAATGATCTTAAGCGTGCGATGTAAAAATAAATTTATCTCCTGTTTCTATAAGAGACAATTGAAGTTCTGTAGGAATGGTGAGGTCACACCACCCTTAAAGCTATTCAGTATCTTAAGGAATTATAAACAAAGTACTTTGATGCCGTGAAATCTGCCAAACGATCAAACTTTTTTGGAAAATGAGTTTTCTACCCCTTGAAAGTCGATTATAGATCCTTTTTTACCTAGATTCGTTTAGACCACACAATAAATTAAAGTAACCACCGAATTGTTCCATCGTTTTGATAAGCTAATGACTTAATAACTACCGTTTTTTAACAAAAGAAATATATAAAGATGGACAAGTTAATGACGACATCTTATTCTTTTTAGAAGAATAGCAGTTGGTCAGTTAATGCACTTGCGGCTAAACTATGGAAAAAAAAGAGGAAGTCGGTTTTTGAACTACGTGCTCAACATAACGTGATTTTCTGCATCTTTTAAGAACGATTTGCATCTTAATAATATGCATTAGAGATAAATCAAAATATATTTTCTCTTTCAATAGTCTGAAATATGAAAAGTTAACGAGAAAAGCCTTAGCGTAGGTCCCGTGTGGCTGAGTTATGACTCGTGTTTAGTTTTGTTATCACACAAAGTCAAAAGTTGATTAGTGGACCGCTTCAAATTAAAAACTTCAAGAACAGACGTCTTGTCATCACGCAACGTGATGTGCTGAATTTAAATGCTTATATCAATTTTTTCTTGGTCGCCAGGAGTGCATGAAACAACTTGCAAAAGATTTACTAAATTTTAAATTAAGTTGCATACGTGATTTTCTTTTCCTTTTTTTGTCGCCTAGAAACTTCTTGCCGAAATGGAAGATTTAGCCGGATTAACTAAATTAATTTGCCTGTGCTTTAAGCTCAGTCCAATAACCTCTTTCGCGCCTAAGAAGACATGTACGTCGCCTCTCGTCTCCTAGAAGCCGCCACTTTCACATGTAAATTTCCTTTTGACAATAAATGTTAGTCATGTCAGAGACCCTTTCAGGATAAAGACGCTGAATGTAAGATTAGTAGATAAGTTTTTGTTTTTTTTTCTTTAAATCACTGTACATGGCTGCGTGCATTTTTTTCGGTGGCGTGGTACGGCTCCTACTTCGCACCTCCAGTCGCACGTAAGGAGTCAGTTTCTACTCTGGTGCATTTTAATTTGATCGATGGATAAAGATAAAAAGTACCTTACGCGAGGTTTCTTTCTGGCATGGCTTTTAACAGAAGTCGTTTGAAGTCGCCGCATAAAAAAAAACAACTAAGCGACGTGAACGACTTCGTAAATGTTACAAGCCATTTTGAAAGACTGAATCCCAAGCAGCGTGGACATGAGTATAGTTAATGTACATCTGTAAAGTAAGTATGAGTGGGAATACCGCCAAAAAAGAGCCGGATCAAAATTTTTCCCACGGCCAGGCAGTCTATACATATGGTGTCGCTGCAACATTGAGATGAATTTTTTCTTCCACCAGATTCTTCAGGAAATGAACCATCATAATATTCTCAAGCTGCACCACGCTTATCCTGCGTTCGATCGATATTACCTCGTTATGGAGTTGGCGTGTGGTGGAGAGCTCTTTGAGGACTTGGTGTCGAGAAATGCTTTCTCTGAGAGCACTGCGCGAGAAGTCATGTTGCAGCTATTTAGCGGGGTACAATACATACACAGCCTTAGAATTGTTCATAGGGTAAGGAAAGTGACTTACATTATAGGTCTTGATAGTTATAAGATTCTGGAAAATTGCCCACCTACCCTTCCCCCAAGCCAAACAATTTGCCCCCAAGTGAGAAGTCAGAGTGGAACCCGATCAATACGGACGCCAAGGTTGGGTCAGTTGGCAGAGTGCCAGTCTGCTGAGCGGGAGATCGCGGGTTCAAACCCCGGCCGGAGCAACACTAAGGGTCTTAAATAACTGAGAAGAAAGTGCTTCCTTTGTAATGACATCTGCAAATGGTTAGACTTTCTGTTCTTCTCGGATAAGGACAAAAAACCGCAGGTCCCGTTTCACAGCACTTTCACTTATCTGGTTCTTGTAGGACGTAAAAGAACCAAAACCATTATTCGAAAAGAGAAGGGGACGAAGACCCCGGTGGTATGGCCAACCTTTCCTGGACTGGGTGGGTTATCTGTATGATCCTCCTTTAGTTGTCGTAATGGCTACCTGTAAACAGTCTATATATATGAGGGGACATACCGTAGAGTCCATATTAACGCGGTGTACGTATAAAGTGGGTGTCCGGATGAAGTTTAATTCCCGCACCGTAATTAACAGATTCTCTGTCAAATGTTATGTCCTAAAGAATTCTCCGTACGAGAAGAAAGCATTCTAAATCAGTTTTACTAAGTTATCGATTTCATTGTAGAATATCCGACCTGAGAAACTCATCCTTGGTTGGAAGTCCGTCGAAAATAATAGCCACTTTCCTCCTTTAAAACTCAGTGGCTTTGGTTTGGCCAAGAAATTACCAGGTAAGAATATATTTAACTTGCTGATACAAAGACGTACCATTTGAGAATTGGAAGCAAAACACTGTTGGACCATAAAAATCCTCGTTCAGTACTAGCGTTTTACAGTCAATCTGTTGTATGATTTTAGACTTTCAATCTTTTAGACAATTTAGACCTCATCAGTTGTCCTATTGAGGGATCTCCGCTCTACCTCGCTCCTGAAACTATCACTAAGCAACCCATTGGAAGAGAGGTCGACATCTGGGCCTGCGCAGTAATATTCTATACTTTGCTTGTGAGTTTTTTTATGCCTTACATATGCCTTTAATTAAAATCCATTTCTTCTCCTCATATGGAATAGGAAACATCATCGAAAGGTCACTCGGAGAAAGAATCAAGTAACGCATTATTTTATAGGGAACAAGTTACATCAGGACTCCTGGCAATCGTATATATTTTTTAGTTTTGTCTGATCTGTTTCTTCTCTTGCTTTTCTAAGGGGAATTACATCTCATTAATGTATTGGAACGGTTATTAGACGTGAATCCAAAATTAACTCGCAGTTGCTTTGGTTTACTCTACTTTACTATACTAAGCTTGTGATTGTGGATACATCTAGTCAGCGCGAGGTTCTCCGCCTCAGGGTAGAGCTTGTTGAAAACTCCGGTTGAAAACCTTTCCTGCGGCTTGATTTAGCTATGTTAGCATGCATGCAAACGTGTTATATGATTAATTTCCTTTCTTGCTCTCAGGGAACAACAAAAAAAATAGCAGACGTTTGCTTATAGGCCATTTACTTCCCTTTCTGATTGGCCTATTGCCCCTGTGTGTGTATTATTTGGCCTTGATCAGGCTTAGGGCATAAATTGCTCCCAGAGTGATATTTGTGTAAGTTTTTGTCTCGTCAGCCACATATATATGGAAATATTCCAAATCTCCCTACAGGCTGGATACCCTCCATTCTGGAGTACAAATCGGACGGAACTTTTTGGGCTTATTGCCCGTGGAAAGTACAGTCTCCCAGACCAAGAATGGAAATCCATCTCAGATGGAGCCAAGCGGCTAATTAAGAGCATGGTAAGAAACTTTTTCCGGGGACGGTGCAACATTGTTAATACAACAGTAACTTTTTGCGTTCGAGGTAAGAGAACGCAACCCCTAATTTGTTTTGGGTGTTCTGTGCATTATTGGGGTCCCTGTGCAATTAATAAATAGTTCTTTCACGCCTTTGGTACATAGAAAACAGTGTTAGAGCTTTGTTACATAAGAATAGTTGGCCTTGCACCGCGGAAAACACAAATCACAGCGAAAAGAAGTCCAAAGCTACACCAACCTTTTTCTATTTTCTAGTACACCACCTTCAAACGACCGTCTGCTAGGGAACTATTGTTCTGAAATTAGTTTGTTAAGTGGAAGACACATTGTGTGAACCAAGTTCGAGTTATCGAGTCATTTTCGACTGAGTTAACCTCTTGTGAAAATTCAAATAAAGATTAAGGCGAGGAGAGGTTGTAAATGCCTATGAAGTAGAATCCATCGTAGACCGCGTCTTACCGTCAGGGCTATCTTGATTTTTTTTTAGCTCTGGAGGGGGGGAGGGGGCGAGAAAAAATTTTTCTCGCTTCCTCCCAAACCGCCCCCTCCCCCTAAGTAGTTTTGACACTCATGCAAGATGGCAGCCCGCAACGCAAAGCGTTCGATCTCGATGATCTTTCGGAAAAATAGAGGACTGTGAACAGTCTAAATCCATCCCCTTTCTGTCAGATGTCACTAATTTCCTTAACATTATTTTCTGTAGTTCATGGTTGATAGGAATGAACGAGCAACAGCTACAGAGCTTGTTAAAGACCCGTGGACTCAGAATAGAAAACTATCGACCGCTCATCGGAAAGGAACTCTTGATCACCTCAACGCTTTTAATGCCAAGAGGAAACTGCGAGGAGCTGTTTACACGATTTTTGCCATGAAAAGAATGATGGAAAACCCAGAGCCTTTGACGAATGGCATTTAAAACATAAAGTCACGATCGGCTTACACTGAGTTTCAGGTTCCTCTCAGTCGTATACACTTTAAAAAAACGCAGTTAACACAAATTATTTTGTCAGTAGGTGTCTACATATCAAGCAAAGCCACCTCAGTGGACAAGGACTTTTTCGTGTAAAATGAAATTTTTTTGACAACGATTTTGTGGGCTTTAAAGATTGTAGAGAAAAACTTTCTCCAACTTATTGGGAACAAAACGACTAACTGAAACTAATAACTTTATTATGAGACAGTGCTATAAAGCCTTAGTGCCAGGATAAGTAAAAGGAAATTAAAAATAAAAACAGCCATCATAAAAAGTGGTGGAAAATGTGTATTAATAATAGTATTAATAATAATATTATGAATAAATGTACATAAATACATTACTATGCAAAATAGAATAAATTGAACTGTCATTGGAAGCGTGTCCTTAATGACTGGTATCTCTCGTTTCTAATGTTCGAAGACTGCCACTGAATGAGCTGAAAAATAAGTCTGCGCGCGGGAAAATTAGTTGCTATTACTTTCTTCTTCTTTCTTTCTTTTTACTTTCCTATTTTCCCCTCAAATGGATTACTTAGGATCTTTGGACTTTTGTATTACCCTTCTTTCCGTTGTCCCTTCTCATTTCTTCCCTTAGGAACTTAATTAGGCCCCTATCGATTGTTCTAGCATTTGGCATAATCTGGAAAAACGACTGATTTCATGCAAGCTTATCAAGTACATGACAGCACTTGTCAACGATCAATTAAGATAATTAGCATAGAAAAAACTTTTATGCTCCATAAGTCTGCACAGAAAAAACATCTTTTCCTGGAATTTTTTAAAAAGAAAGCTCTTTATGAGTTCTATTTAATCATCTAAAAATTGCAATTTTCGAAAAATGATGGGTTTTTTTACCCTGGATGATACCTTAAATAAGCACTCATGCTGGTATAATCAGCCGATTCTTTTTCTGTTTTCGAAGAGACAATTAGGGATGGATCATTATTTTCTTGGATGGAGAGGATGAGACAGCAAATAATTTTTTTAATATATGCCCCTCTGCAATTATTAAAAGCGCAATCAATAGTGCTATGGGGTCCGTACTAAGAAGTTACCTTTTGGTGGTCACCGACGTTGTAAGTTTCGTACCCAACCGTTTGCCAAATGCCCAATTGCTAATGATGCTAAAGCAGTCTTTAATTGAATCAGCCTCGGTATGTAAATACAGCAGTGGCTGGTTTTTTTCCTAAGTTGGCTTAAATCTTTAATTTACCGTACCCGTATACGTTTTGAGCTAGGAAGCGGTTTGCGAAAGAATTTCTCCGTTGCACACAGTTTGTTCATTCTAGACCCCAGTGCTTACGGGCTTGGGAATGCGCGCGTAAGCTCTGGGAAACTCTACGCCGGAGTAGCCAAAATCAATTCTCGTACCCAGAGCCCTTTGTTTCTTGGTCACGTGTAATCTCGTACCCAGATCTCACTCTGTTTTCTGGGTACGAGATTAGGTCACGTGGTCTTGAAACCACTGGTTCGGCTCTGGGGACGATAATGGCCAAAATCATTCTCAGTTTGTTATAAAATTTAAAAGAACAAAAATTGGAGCTCTCGGCTGATTATTAATGAAAGTGGTACCGCTTCTTCAGGGAAAAGTTGTTGAAAACTTTCACCATCATCGTTTGGAAAGGCATTGTCAGGCTTTATAGGGATTTTGCCAGGGAGTATTTAGATGGAAAAAATTGATCTCACGCTAACCGTGAAGAGACCTTTTTCGGATACCTGACCGATGACTTTGGACTCCTTGTCCATTATCATCTTATCACTTAACGAGAAAAATCAATCCTCTGTGTTTCGCTGTGTGTACTCGCGCGGAAACGCTTGCTAGTCGATGCTACGCAGGCTACGCTCGGCTACGCTAGTTGCGGAGCTTCGCTAGGGCCCTGGAAACGGGCGTAAAAACAAAGCACTATGGGTAATTGGTTTAATCAACATGGCGGTTTTGGCCGGGCCGGTGGATGTTGATGTTGTTTGTGAGCTCAATAATTACAGATAATGGCATAATTTTGTCTTACTCGCCAGAAGCTACGAATTTTGACTCAAGGGGCGATCGTAGACTCTTCTGATACTTGTGACCTACATTTTTAACACGAAGATTATACACACTCATTAACCGACAAGATCAAGATGATGTTCTCGAAGCCGGCTCTTGCTTAATTAATGTCACGGAACTAACGCGGTATTTGCTTCAAGATCCTTCAGTCGTTGCAATGGAAAAGTGGATCAAGTCGCTGTTTAACCACCTTAGTAAGTTGTTAGCAGTAGAAGTTCCTGGTTTAAGAACAGGATCCAGTAAAGTGCAAGAATGTTCAATCAAAACAAGACTTAGACGAACTGGAGTGCTCAACCAGCCATTTCCAAGGCGCACTTTAATGGGAGGAAGCAAGCGGAAACTCAAATCTGTCTGGAATCAAAGAAATCCAAACCTCTTTAGCTATCGTGTATTCTCAGATCTTGGTAGTTTGGCGGGAAAGCAGTTTTCTTCAGCCACCAAAGCTCGTGCTCTCTCGAGTTTGTTTCAAAACAAAGTTCGTAGCATGTACCAAGAACCCTGGATGATGTCAGATGAGGAAGTTTTGGATATTATTTCTAAGCACGAATGTGCAGAAGTGCTAAATCGTGGTATTGTTAGCAAGTATGAGTCAAATCAGTTGCCGTCAAACAAACCTGTTGAAGATCGAAGATTTGTTTCCACGCTTTTGTATGACAGCGATGCCTTGTTAGTTGGAGTGTTGGATGGTCATGGCGGGGACACATGTGCTCATAATGTTTCTCAACGTCTTTCGGACTATATTGGTGCTACACTGTTGCCGACAGATGTTCTTGTAGGCTCCACAGTGAAAAACTATTTATTTTCTAAGCATTTCCTTGTTTGTGACAACCCTGGTATGTACAACTTTCATGAGGATCCTGTTTGCCATGAGAATTTAAAAGGGTTCTTTATGGATCTCCGAAGGATTCAAAAGAGACTACATACAGGGGCTGAAGACTCACCAACTCTTACCCACCTTAAGGAGTCTCGCTCAGGTTACCAAACTGCTGTTACTGAGACAAGGGAAGAGGAAATTTTCCATACCATGACAGCTATTTCTAAAGCCTTTCTGAGATTAGATAGTGACTTAAGCCAGGAAGCTTTCACTCAAGGGGAAGACAAGGAAGGCAACGAACATAAATTTAAATCCATATCATCAGGGGCCTGTGCATTGGTTGTGCATATAAAAGGTACTGAGCTGACTGTGGCAAACTGTGGAGACTGCCGTGCTGTATTGGGTGTTCAGAGTGAGGATGGATTGTGGTCGGCATTGCAGTTATCCAATGATCATACAGCAGGTGAGTACCTTTCCCAGGGTTTTCAAGAATAATAATGATAATGATAATGATAATGATAATGATAATAACAATAAATGTCTTTATTTTTCATAAAATAAAAACTACATATCTTATGTTACATATTTTGCAAATATGACAGCCAATAGAGAAATTCTTAAAAACATAACCATAGTGGTTGGTTACATATTAAGATTGTATCTATAGGTAAGTCTATTGATAAATGTATTCTTAAAACATTCTGTATTAATTAGAGTGTGAGCGCTATTCTTGTTGCGCAAGTTAGAATTGATGACCTTAGTCTTTGAGACTGCTCATGTAGCGGGTGGGTACCAAGTTGAGAATTTTTTAAAAAGCTTTCCTGTCTTGTTTTTCTAATGAAGCTCTAACATTATTTTAATCTAACTAAAATATATTGCCTTTTATGGCATCTGTTTAGAAAATCTTACACTGTTGCTATTTCTGGCTCTAAGGCTCCATGTACCACTAGTACGTAGGTGACACTGGGTAAAACTATGGTCTTAATGAATAATCTACCTCAAGCTGAGTTATATCCCTCCTTTCGCAAAGATTTATGACGTACAGGCATTTATTGGCCTTAGGAAGCTTGTCCTTAACAGGCTTTTAATCATATCTACAGTCTTGCTGGAAATTGAATCCAAGGACAGTTAGTCTGGAGCATAGTGGTGTGTTCAAAATCATTTTGTAAACATTGTTATGTCTGTTCTTTTGGAAAACAAGCTCCTTACACTAAAAGGGATTACATTTCATTAAATTGCTACTATAGACCATTCTAAAAACCTATAAACAAGTTCAGCTGCTGGGTCATTGTTCTTAAACACAGTAACAACAATAATTGTTGTTCCTGTGTATTGTGTAGTGTTCCTGTGTATTGTTTACAGTCATCAGCATAGTTAAAACAGACAGTTTCCCCACCTATACTCATCTCTAAGTCATTCAGAAAAATGCTAATTAAATAAGGGCCACTCATGCTTCCTTGTATAGCACCCTCATTTACATGCTTCCAATACAGATAACTTTATTATATGCCACCCTTTGCATTTGTCCTGGTAGAAAATTCAATCACCAATTGACAATATATGATTTTAGAGAAATGTCTTTAAGTTTGGTAGCAAGAAGTTGGTGGTTTACAGAGTCAAATGCGTTGCTAAAATCCATTGTGAACATCCTGACAGCCATGCAGTTGGGATCGTTAAGGAACTTGCTCACTTTTGTGCTGAACAAGCACAGACAACTGACAAAACACACCACCAACCTTGCTCGGAGAAGTTGGCTACTTTCCCCCCCTAAATTGGACGCTGAGAATGAATAAACTTAAAGAAAGATTCTGTCAAAACTTAAATTAAAATTCAATTTTCTGGACTCTCCTTCAATTTTAAAATATTTATGAAAAGATTGAGCCTCTCATCTGTACATTACATATCCATTTTGATTGAAATTATATTATCTTTTGTACTAAATTTAGTGCCCAGAATGCTAGAAATTGCATTTTAGGGCATTGCAATTTCACGCCCCCAAACCCACCTAGAAGAAGGATATTAAAAGCCCCGTGTTCATATAGTTGGGTATTATTCAAACCTGCTGGCTACTTGAATTTTTATCGAAACCCCTTCTTACCCACCGAAAAAAAAATTATATAGCTGGTAAATGCATGAAAGACATCTCTCGAAGATGGACAGATGGTGCCAGTTGCAAAGCTGACTGTCTTGGAGAGTAGTTGACTGTAGAAAACATTTTTCACTCTTTGCAAACTAAAAACTTGGCAGTAAAATTTCTCGCCTGTGGTTCCACTTGGGCAATACATTTTGATATCTCTCTGTGGTCTGTAAGAGTAGACAATGTGTGGAAAAAATTGTGGTCTATTTGTTTTTTACAATAACATTAAATGTTGTTAATTCATTGATAGTGAACTTGCTATTTCGAAAAAAAATGGTAAAAAAAATATCTTTTTTTGATGTTTAAAGGCCATTTTGTGCCTCATCAGATGAAACGTCATGATTCTAGTGTATTTTACACTCGAAAACCTTTGATTACCATACTGCTTCTAGCTCAGTGCTTAGTTCATGCAGGTAAGGTGACTGGCTGCCGGATTAAGGTGTAGGACCCACCACCGTCAAATGCACTACACCTACATTTGCAAACTCATCTATTGTCACTAAACCAATTCAGTGTTCCTCATGAATTTTCTTGTCATACAGGGAACCCAAGTGAAGTTCAGCGAGTGTTGAATGAGCACCCTGTGGAGGAAGCCTATACCTGTCTCAGGTCTGAAAGGCTTCTGGGACGTCTTGCACCTCTAAGAGCATTTGGCGATGCTAAATTTAAATGGAGTAAGAAGAAGCAAGAGAAGGTGTTTCAACAGAAAGGGCTCGCGCATCTGTCAGATTTTCATACGCCACCTTACCTCACGGCTGAACCGGAAGTGACGTCATACCAGTTGCAGCGTTCAGACAAGTTTTTAATCCTTGCCAGTGATGGATTGTGGGATATGCTAAGTAATGAAGAGGCTGTGGACATTGTGCGGGAGAATTTAAAGCGGCGTAACCCAGGTAGCAGTATCGTTTACCAGAGGCAAGAATCAGCTGATGACGATGAACTGAAATCGTCCTGTGAGTTAGAGAACGCAGCTTCTTGTCTCATCAAGGAGGCTCTTGGTGGTGCAGATCACGTATCTGTAACCATGAGCTTAAGTATCCCCTACCCTGATGTGCGCAGATATCGTGATGACATCACTGTTACTGTGGTGCATTTTGATTGGAGCAATGTGGCAGTGGAGTAGCTTCCTGTAAAAAAGGCCTTGCCCTACGCAATAATCAGTAGGCCCTATGGTGCCGAGTTCAAAAGTTGACATAAAGCTGTATGGAAAGTATCTTAGCCAGGAAAAGTTGGAACTGAGGGAAGAAGACATTGATCAGGTGAATTATCTCACCAGCGCGTTCATTGTCGTTTGAGTTTTGATAGCTTAAGTGAATGTGTTTGTGTTTGGTCAGTAATTCTTAGTTCAAGGAAACTTTCTCTTGAGGAAACTCGGTCCTGTCACACTCAATAGTGGAGCTTATGTTTATTTATGTGTTGTAAATAATAATTATGTACTCTGAATTGATTCGCCGTTCTTGAGCATCCCAGATTTTACCACCCATATAAACAGTACAAAACATTTGTGGAAAGGGTCTATTATTAACGGGAAAAACGAAGGTGTTTTCTATATTGCCAGGTGTCTTTAGGTGATAACTGGTTATTATTTTTAATAAATGACGATGGTAAATATATTTGCGATGGTCGAAAGGACAGTAATTCTCGATCGATCGTCTGAGTTTGTCGCAGTTAATGCGGGGCCTGTTTTGTACAGCCCAACTTCCTATCTTATTACACAGTGAACCATTTTTCAGCGTGAAACATTGTCAAGCATAAGAATTGACTGTCTCTGACACAATTAAACTTGAAGAACTGTATCTTTCGAGTAAACTATTTAATATATCTTGAAAAAATGTCTCCAATTTTTCTTTTCGAAGGGAGTATTCTTGTACCAGAAATTGTTTCCCACATTATTGGTGTCGGGTCTATTACAATATATTATGTGCGGTATAAATGGAGGTTACGTTATTCCGAAAAAAACTACAGAGGGGATTTTTAAAAGTATTTTTCAGTCATATTTATTCGTTTGTAAATAAAGGCAATAACACAGCAAGCGCAGAATAAAGAGACAACGAATCGAATTTGTTGTGTTTAAGTTTATTTAAAAGTGATTGTATGTATAAGCTAGACTTTATTAGTGAATTTATAGTACTTACTTTCTTTTCTTTGGGTCAGATGGGCGTTAGACTTGCCTAACTCAAGGTAGCCTGCGAGCAAGCTGAGCGCCCGGAGAGCTTGCTCGTAGGCTAAACTCAAGGTGAAAATTCGCTGTTACCTGGATACATTACAATGTAAAGATAATTTTGATACAAAAAGATGGTCCGGTACCCTGCTCCCTTCGTTTAAGGGAGCAGTCTTGGCGTAAGTCAAAGAAAAACTCGTCCGTTTATATTATCCCTACGAGTAACGAACCGACTTTTGCAATCAAAACACCCATATATTGAGACCGCAGTCTCCTTAAACGTTACTCAGGGAACATTCTAGCATGAATGAGTCAGGACGCGACAATTTGTACCCAACTAAAGCAACGTCGTCCGACAGAAAGGAAAAACTATCCTACCTACAAAATAGTATATTGCCTATAAAATTTTAGGAGAGTGATTATGAGTAGACTATGTTATAATAATGTACAATTCATCTTAGAACAATATAACTTTTTGTCCGTTTCAGTCTTTTGTTCGGGACGTTGACAGTTCATACTGCATTAGTTTTTCAGATAACCTTCTTAGCAAACTGGTTTATAAAGCTAACCTACTGGGTAACCCAGGCTACTCTCATGAGCGCCCATTTTTACTTGTTAGATAATTTCTCCTTCTTCCATAGCTGACTCGTCCCCAGTCGTCTCTTACTATCTCTCCCTAATGACGCGCGGGGTGTGATGGGAAGGACGTAAGCGAGGCAGAGAGACGTCGCCTTCCTCCCTTTTCCCTTTCCATCACCCCTTGCTCCCGCTGCGCGCGTTACACGAAGACGACCAGGGACGAGTCAGCTTCTACAATCCAAGGCTATTCATGCCATCGGGAGGGCTTGAACTGAACTATTCGTTGTAATGGACACTATATGTGGACGATGACGTCATTTTACTGCAACAACCGAAATTCTTCAGTTTATTGTTTTCTTGTACAAATTGTTATTTTAAAACTCAGCGGGATGGAAAGGATATAAATTAGAAATGAAAAACGAAATGAATTCTGGTAGTTGTAGTCAAATGTTAGTGTCGTCGAAGAAAATGGCCTCAGTCCGGCCCTACTGTGGCTAGCCTAATCCATGCCTGGAACCGGTTATGGTACGACTCAGCCTTGTTCCCAGTCAGCCTTGGCGAGTTCTCTGTGACGCAACTGGGACGCCGCGCACTCGTACTGTGCTTTTTTGGGGGTCCCCTCTGCATTAAAAATCAAAGATGGCGGACGACACCCAGAAATACTGAGAACTCGCCTTGTTAAGTACTTCTACACTGAAGTGAAGCGGCTTCGGCCACCTTTTCGCCGTCCCAACGAGAGTTTCGCCTTGAGCGGACTCATCAAGACAATAATATAAATGCCAATTGCGAATTAATGCAAATAAAAATTTCGAGCTCGGACGGCTTTTCTTCCCTTTTAAGTTGGAGGGTATTTTACGCTTGAAATTGAACTGTACTTGTTCAACCCGAAACTGTCGGTTAGTTTTTTTTTTGAATTATTGGTTAGGGACATTGAATTCCTCACTCGATCCACTGTACATTCCCTTTGAGGGAGAGCGTTACTCCCCGTGCATATGTTTGGATTATATGTTTGGAAAGTGAAATGCATGCTTGCAACAAAGATACTTATAGACTATGTACGGATTTCAAGTTTTCAACTGATCGAAATGTCTAACAATATCAAAGCTCCCTGGAACGCCGTGTAAAAAAAGTGTAGTAGTCCGCGTTAGATTGTTACGCATCTACAGCGGTCACAAAGCTGCTTGAGAGAGATATTCTCTCACTCATCGCAGTGTAACGTCGGAGAGACTGTTCGTCGTTCATGGTGTCAAGCATGTCCAGCAATATGTTATCTGCTGCATCGTCGTTGTCACTGCACCTTTCCAATTGCATGGTCAGCCGATCCACGTTTTTGTTCAACGTAGCGAGTGTGCGCAGAATTCGTTTGCCGGTGTCGAATTCCATTGACATACAGCACCCCGATAGAGAATCTTCGCTGTCACGATGCTTGTAATCAGAAGGCTTAAAAGGAGGCGAGGTTGGGAATGCATTCGACTTACCACCCGACCCGATACGATTTCTGTTGAGACCCAGGTTCCCTCTGAACTTTGACATGATAAATTCTACCATCTCGTATTCGTTCATCTGTTTATCGTTCGAAGCCTTCACATCAGTAAATGAGTCGTTTATGATTGCTACGAACATGTTAAGCAGGTAGAAAACGCAGAAGTACATGAATGTAAAAAAGTAGAAGGGCCCCAGCAAACGGTTTGTACGCTCGATGTTCCTGTAATCAAAGTCGCCCAGAATTATTGCTGTTTGAGTTTCAAACGTGGTGAGGAAATTCTTGAACTTGTCGTTGTTGTTGCTAAACGACAGAAACGCCAAGATGGCATACGCGAGAAATACCAGCATGAAAGTCACTAGAAAAGATCCAAGTGGCTTGGCGAAATCAGCGATGGTTGACCCCAGAAGTGACATACGCTTGTTAAACCTAAAGAGTTTCATGAACCGCAGGGTAACCAAGAACACAAGCAGCCCCATGATCAGACTCAGGGACTCGTCCGCTGCCCCGGCGTACTGGAAGCTCACAAAGTCCTTGGGATTGTAACGCAACTTTAAGAAGTTTTCTTCCACTTGTAACCAGCGTACAAGATAAAGTATACCCATGGCAAACTCACAGACAATAAGGAGTACCTATTAGTAGAGAGATAATATTTCTCAAAACGTGAAATGCCAATGAATTAGATAGATTTTGGTAACTCTTAAAGGTAATGCGCGTTGCGGGGTTTAACGAATCACTCCATATATTAGCAGCGGTTGCGACCAACAAAAGGTAAATGGCTTGTCTGAACTCTTTCCGTGAGAATCTGTTTATCCAGCGTGAAGGCAAAAGGCTGGAGGGACGCATGCTAAATGTTACCCAAATTGGGGGCGGAATCGCTTGTTGAGAAAAAGTACCCGTCATAGATCATAGATAAAAAGCACTACTGATACGCGAAATACAACCAGCTACTTAACCTACGACTGGTATGAATAAATGAATGGATAAATAGTAATTATATGAAATTACCTCCATCCAGTTAAAGAATCCGTGAAAGTACCCTTTGCGCTGTTTGTACATCTTTTTACCTTCGCGGTACATGAAATAAAACATGAAGAGAACCAAAAAAATTTGGCAGGCTAGAATGAACCTGCTGTAGGGACCAACATAACTGTACAGACGTGAGACGACAAAATGGACTCGAGGAAAGGCACCGCCCGTTGGCAGGAATTCTACGAACATAAACGCGATGCCAAATAGGTTCACGTTAGCATTGTACACAGTGAATTCAACGAAAACTGCGCGGGTTCTCGTGTCAACCCAGTTATGGGAATGCAGATCCGCAATTACGGTCAGTGCCGTGGGGTAGTCGTATCCTAAATCCGCGGGGTATCCACCCCCGCTGTAAAGGCTCATATGGCCCCAGAAGGGGTAGCCATTGAGATCTAGAGTGTCATGATACAACCATCGGGTGGGGCAAGATATGATCGAACCATCGGGAAGAACAGCAGAATCGAGGACGAAATAAGTTTTTACTGTGTTTCCGGGTCGTTTTCGTTTTCTCTGTTGACGACCTGAAGTAGATGTGTACACAGGTTCGACTGCACGACGTAAACGAACACGAGACGAATCGCCATATTCTGCGAGTGTCTCTTTTCCTATGTCCCTGAAGGCGAACTGTTCTTCAATACTCCTCCTGCGGCGAGCAGTTGTTGCATGAGTTTTGTTCAGATAAGCCCATCCCACATCATAGTCCCCCTTGTCTTCTTTCAGTACAGAATATTCAGCCAAGCAGTCGTTGAAATAGGGCTTAAAATCGTCTACAACGACACAGGAATCTGTAAAAGGAACCGAAATGCGAAGAGTGCAGCTTTAATGTTTTATCAAAAGATAAATTCTCTTAATAGACCCCACCTGTTTACAAGGGCCCAAACGTGACAAATTTTTGAACGGACGAATTTTTTACCTATTTAACCCGTTTTAGCTTTACCTGGAACCGGGCAAATTCTGTTACATGTATAGTGCTGTTTACACTAGTCCTTACCAATTTTTTTTTAGGTGTCAGCATTGGAGTGGCTTTTTTTTACCAAAGCCGCGTAACCTGGCTTTAGGCTTTTACGTCGCAAACTATGCAAAAACTTGCACGGTTAGAAGTTAACACGAGTCCGCTTAAAAGTGGAACAGTACTGGTCAAAAATTCTGACCTACTTCTGATCAGGTAAAGAACTTGCACACTTTGCGGTTTAAAAACTTGCCCAGTTCCGTGGATACCGTGTAAACAAAAGGCAGATGCGTGCAAGTTTTGCTCCGTTCAAAAATTTGTCCGGACCCGTGTAAATGGGGTTCTTGGTAAACTTGCCCGGTTCCGCGGGTCCCATGTAAACGAAGGGCGGATCCGTGCAAGTCTTTGTCTGTTCAAAAATTTGTCCTCACCCTGGTTAACTGGGTTTTAGTTTCGTTAGTCAAAATAAAGGCGGACGTAAACAGTCAGCCAGATGCGGTTTGCGGTACCTAATATATAAATTATCTACCTATAGGGTATGAATGTAAGCATCTTTTCCTGCATGCCATTAGTTTCTATCAAATCAGTGCTCGATGTAAAACCATACTTTGAGTGTAAGTCCAATAGTACGTTTAATAGGAGACTGGTAAGTTCTATAGTTTAAATCTTGGAGAACATACTATTGTACTTTTCTAAAACATAAAACATAAACAGGAGAAGTGGCGCCCTGGACACTGCAGCAGCCCTAGCAACTATAGTGAGCCAAAGATTGAGGTCATAATCGTCGACTTTTGTGGGACGGCAATTTTAAAACCTATCATCCTTTAAAATGATAACAAAAACAAAAAAGAATCATGTTCATTTCAAACGTACTGGTAATACTTTTAAGTCTCTACATCAACAAGGAGTCGAGGTAGAATTCCTATATTTCCTTGAGGCGAGCCTTTTAATAAGTTTTTATTTCTGCGTTCGGCGAAGGAAGACCCATACTAATCACGTTTTGCGGAGATAATCGCGGCGAAGGTCTGCTTTGGTCCTTCCATACATTCGTGGACACTGATTTTGGCGCATGACATAAGTGCCATTGCCTGTATTTTGGTCCTTGTTATGTGTCTATACGTCAAATGCACTTCTCTTAACTTCCATTACCTCTAGTTTATCTTTAATTTTCATTTGAATCTTTTTCATACCTTTTTGCACTCGTGCTTGTCTGAATCTGGAGATTCCAACCAAATAGTTGTTCCGGTCGTCAATAAATCCCGTGTATTTATCCGATTTGTTATTGTATAGAACACCCGGGTATAAGTTCGGCACCAGTGTTTCTCGACCCCAGTGGAAAAACAGATCCACGTCACTTGCCTTGATAAAGAAACAATACGTGGCATTTAAAAAAAAAGTCGCTTTTCTCACTGTTTTCCCTACAAAAATGCCAATATTCTTCCCTGGGAGAATATTGGTACTGTCTATTGCTAACATATACATGAAGCATGTCAAAATAACTACAATGTGAACGACTACAAGTCATATTTTAAGTTACTTTTTCCTTAGTCAAATGCTTTTATACCGATGATACGTCAATAAAGCAGTGTTAAACTACTGTATTTTGCTGTATATTTACAGTTATGTATTTGAAATGAAAATCAGTGGAGCTGAATGATTTTTCATTGCTCATAAGAGCTTGTTTTATTTGATGTCTGAATTCTAAGTTTTAATTGAAATCTTTAAAATAAGAGCCTGTGGCTCCTGTGTAAAATGGGTCTAAATGGAAACTTAGACTAAGGAGCCTCTGTACGGATACCTGCAGAAGATTTTTGTTCAAAACTGCGAGGTTTTTGGTGGCGAATTAGCAAGACTAGCCGCAAAATGCACATGGGCTTCAAGATTTTACGGTATTACTCGTAAGAATAACTTCCATATACTTACATCAGCCAGATCAACCCCTGTCTCGTCCAAGTCTACGAATGTGTCATGGAGGTTCTTCCTCAAAAGGTAGGCATAGGGATCTCTGTTGCCATAGGCAACCAGGAGAAGAAATATGACGAAAAGAAAATACGTCAACACCTCTTTTATGATTTGGGACATGCGTACTTCCTTCAGTCTTTGTTCACGTGCCGATTTCAGAAATTCTTCGTCTGGTGGCCTGTTTGGTGAGAAACATAAGAGACGGAGTCCTGTTACACCTCGAATTTCTCTTGCAACTTGTCGAGATGCAAGTTGAAATAAAAATTATCTAGTATAACAACCATTTTAAAGTAAAAAACAATGTCTCGCAATTAACCTTATGGTTAGCTTAGATTAAGTGTTGAAAAAAGTAGAAGCAAATCCATCGATTTCAAAAATTACTGCTGCAATGTTTTATAGTTGCAAGACATGACATTATTTTATGAAGTGTTATACTACGTATATAACAAAATTCCGTCATTTCCGTTAATGATCCTGGGTCAGTTGATATAGTCATAATTGAAGAGCTACTTAGATTTCGCGGCGAATAAAGCATTTTCTTTAATGACGTATTTCACTGTTCACAAACCAGTACCTACCCGTATTGTTCGTCATCGTCGTCGTCATAATCATGCACAACGTCATCTCCAGTCTCTCTACCATCACGGCTACCTTTGAGTTCCTTCTTTTGCGATACGTCGTCGTCTGAATCCATTGGCTTTCGGATAATCATGGCAAATAACAGAGCCACCAAGACTACCTTAAAAGGCTGTATGACCAGTATCGACTGGGAAAATGAGGTCACAAAGGCGATAAGCCATTTGTTTGCTATCTCTGGCCCCCATGCCAGAGAGTAGAAGACGGTAAAAGTTGCACTAGTAACAGAAGATAGAAAGCAGAGAACCCATGCTACGTAAACAAAACCATGCGGCAGGCCTTTCTCTTTCTTCTTAGTTTTGTCGTCTTCGTCTTTTTTCTTGTTGCTGTTGCTGTCAGCTTGTTCATCTTTCTCGATTGAATATACCTCTTGTAAATCTAGAGAAAGCGACTCTCTGGAGGTGCACCGGCTAATATCCGAAAATCCCTCGTCTCGCCTTCCCTCGGTCCCCTCGGTGGTATCTAGATCAGGCTGCTGCTTTGATTTTGTCGGGCGCACGCTTCGAAATATTTGAACCAATGCTAAGTTGACGGGGAAAACAATAAGGCTCGCTTGGACACCGATTATCAACACTTTGAGATCGAACTCATATGTTCCAATTCTTATCATCATTGCTGATTCTGCTGATCCGCCTATCTGGTAAAACATGGCGTTCGTGACCATGGTGAGGCATAGTAAAGACAAACAACAAGAAATACGCTGAACTCGTGTGAACGGGCTGTTGGCAGGACGTGTCACCACTGAAAACCACAGGTGTCCGTCGCCCAGTTCTCTAACGGTCTTGCTCACAAACAGATGTTGGAAGTGCGTCAGCTCCTTGTCGCTGGCAACCGGAAGTATTCTATCCACCCTCCCGTCACCCTCTTCAACGGCGAGCCAGCGCTCACAGATGAAATACCAGCGGTCTTCTGTACGGAGATCATCCACGGAAACACGGCTAAGATACCAGGAAGGATTGTTTCCTAGAAGTTGGTCACAGAATTGAAGGAGATTAATAAATATACCGCTGGGACTCTCTTTCGCTAAATTTTAAGGTTAAGAAACATTTTCTTCCTCGCCGAACCGGGATTGACATGTTGTGTGCTTGGGTTATTTCAACATTATGACTGACTGTTTGGTATTTAAGTTTGTTTTTTAAAACGTTTTGCTCAGTTATAGACAGTGCATGATTCAGGTGATTTATGACATTTGTCGTTTTCAGATAAAACAATGGGGTGGGAAGAGGTGATAAGTTAAAGGTATTAAGGACAATACAGTCAACTCTCTTTAAGATGGACACCTTTGGGATGGGCACTTAGTGTCCGTCTTAGAGAAATGTCTATCTGATAGAGAGTTGAATAAAGGGGGTAAAGAAAGGCAGGGACCAACTCTAGGTGTCCATTTTACAGAGGTGTCCGTCGTATAGAGGTGTCCGTTAAGAGAGGGTCGACTGTATAAATACACTGTAATGCCATAATACCTAAGTTATCGTGCCATATCCTGATATGATTTAAGTTACCAAGTCGTCTGGGCAGTGTCACCACGAAGTTATTCTCCTGTCCCCTTTGGAACACTTTCCGGTTATGGTCCGCCAACGGCATTGGGGGGCTTTCCCACTCGTCACCTGAGAGCACTATAAATACACTACTGGTGGTCCCTGCGTTTTGCCTAACTCCAGTGCGAACGCTTATAAGGTACGGAAACGTGGCTTCACCTCCTTTGCTTACCGCGGTAGCTCCAGTCTGCAGAATTGATTAAATGTCATCAGCATAAATTACATGTGCCTACATATACAAAAGTAGGGTGGTTCTTGACTGCGGAGGAAAAGCACAAGTTAAGATTCGTTTACCAAAAAATGTTTGAGGTTTAGTTCTTGCCTCCCCCCTCCCCCTACAATAAGATAATAGGGAGTTTTAGCAATGACGACGGCGACGGCAACGAGAACGCCAAAAAAGCAATGGGTTTGATAAGCAAAACAACGACTTTGCACGTGCATCACGCTTTTTTGTACATTTCTTTACCGTCACTGCGCGACTACGACGTGAACATGCCTGATTCCACGCTTTATGGAGGACGTAAACAAGCGACGGCGAATTTTTCCTTCTCTGTCTAAACTTGAGTGCGGTCCCCCTACATTTGACATTTTCAGAGGATTGGAATAAACGCGACAATGTTTGAAAAAACGCGAATGCCTTTTTAAAGTGACGTTTTCGCTGCCGTCGCCGTCGTCGATGCTAAAGCTCCCTAACGGAAATGACGCTTACCGGGAGCCGATTGTGCATGCGTACAATATCTTATGTAATTTGGAGACCGTACATTCGTTTATCATCATAGGCGGTTTTTTAATTCTAGCAAAAAATAACCGATCGGATTATATATTTCAACTGATCTGGGTTACTCGGCCAGTTTGCCTGCTGAATTTGGCTAAATTTGAGGATACAGCTCCTTTAAGGCAAACTCTACTGTATGGTGTTTGCCTTGAAAGTGAAGGTTTAACTCCTCTATAATTGCGACCTTCGGGCAGGGGATATTGCAGCAAATCCTACCTTCTCGAGGTCTTTTTTGTCAAATCTCCTGGCAATAACAACCAACAGTATGTATAGTCCAAAGATTAAGCACACGACTAACAGAACCACAAAGTTCTCGCTGAGGTCGGCTGAAAATACTTTGTCAAAATCGATTGGATTTGGTGCCACCAGAAAGTCGCTAGCAAATGAAGTTAGATGATTACATTTGCAATGGATAAGCTCGGGTTTGGTTTGTTCTCCCACCTGTGGAATAAAGTAGTTGCATTAAAAGGAAACAATAATCAAATAATAACCCGGTGGGGATTCCATCCCATGTGAAAGGAGCGAGGATGCTGGTCGGAGATCGATTTAAAATTGAACCTCTAATGATGACCAATCCCCGTGTGGCTCCATCTTTATTAGATTACAGAAGAGTATCAAAAGCCTAGTTAATTTCACTGCAATAAAGACGAATGGTAAATGCAGCAATCGATGTGATTTGTACTTTATCTTGACCACTGATCAAGCGATACCTGCATGCCTGGGTAAAAAATACTGGCTTTCCATTCGCTTAGAGCACCTAAATCTGTATAAGTAATACCCAAGTGTGCAGTATACATCCCTAAAAGAGATAATAGGGACCTTAAGATCCGACGACGGCGACGGCAACAAGAACGTCAAAAAAGCAATAGGTTTAATAACCAAAACAACAATTTTGCACGTGCATCACGCTTTCTTGTACATTTCTTTCCCGTCGCGCACGACTACGACGTGAAAATGCCTGATTTCACGTTTTACAGAGGAATTACACAAGCGACAACGAAATTTCCTCTCTCTTTGTGAACTGACTTGGATATGGTTCTTAGGAATTCAGCTTTAGGAGAGTTCACCTACATTTGACAAAGTTAGTGACTGGGAGTAATCGCGGTGAAGATTGAAAGAACGTCAATTCACTTTTTCAGCGACGTTTTCAATGCCATCGCCGTCCTCGGATTACATGGAATTCCCAAGAAAGGGAGGGACAAAGCGGAGTCAAATAAACAGGTCTGAAAAAGACTCACGTAAAATAAGAACAAGTGACAATTGGAAAACACAAAACAGTGACTACTGTACAGAACAGCAAGATCAGTGGCATTTAAAACCCAGAAAAGACATCAAGTTGAGCACCAGCAAAATCAAAATCAGTGAACACATTTGCTACATCAAGGGTGAGACCACCCCTATCAAGACACCAAAAAACATAGCAATTTGAAATACAGTGGCACTACAAAAGCAATTATTGAACTTTTTTTGAATAGATATTAACACATTACAACACAAACAGCAAAGTCACTCGCCTTGCATCCAGTGTTGATCCAATTCTCGTTTACTTCATCCCAAAATAAGCAGTTTGATGAGAAAACTCTCAAGAGATAGCGTTCAGTGTCATTGGGGTTGAAGGTGTTGCCTTGAAAGTCCACATTAGGAGCTTTGGTGCCTTCCCGGATTTTTGAAGGTGTGGTGGGTGTTGGAGGCGGAGGTGGGATGATCACACATGAACGCTTCATTCGACCATGCGTACCCCTGCTGCTACATTCTAAAGGAAGACCTCTACGATTACGCTCAGCGGCGGGCGAAGGACTTGTTGCTTGCACGTCCGGTTCTGTTGGAGTCTCCGGATCTTGCTTTTTGTAATAAATACCTGGAGTTTTCAAGACATAAAGTGTGAGATAAAGTTAAGTAAAACTTTATCCACACAGAGTGGCTTGTTCAGCTTGTACGGCATACATGGTGATCGGTCGTTTCGCTAGCGTCCCGTTCGCTAACGTCTTAAGTCGTTTCGCCCACGAAACAAAGCGAGCGCTACACATGTAATATATACCTCGTTCTTTCAGCTATGACACATAAAAGTCCAATACAATACATCGTTTGCAAACAGGACGTTGGAGAAACGACTTGGTGAAACGTCCGTAAATCGGCATTCATAGACTTTACTACATTATGAACTTGAAATCACATTTAAACCTTCAATTTTAAAAGCCTCAAGTTCAATTTAAATCTAAATTACAATACAAAAATGAATGGAAAGTTATGCTTGGTAAGATAAATATGTTAACTTATCGACAGTATTGTTCCAGAGTTTCATTTTAGTTTTTCTTGCACTCGGGGAAAAAGAAAAGAGAGAGAAACAAAGAACAAGTACCAGCAACAAGTCAACACACATCTAGTGTTGACGCTGGAAGTTAAGCCCGAGCCACTCGTTCTCCACCTGGGTAGGGTTGGTGGGGTTACGGGAGGGAGACGGCGAGACGGCGAGACGGCGAGACGGGAGACGGCGAGTGTTCAAGACCTGCACCTCCATTGCTCTCCGAGAGCATCAGTTTTTTTTTTTTTGGGGGGGGGGGAAGGGGGGCGTATTACTTCTAGCTTTCAATAGACTTTAAAAATAAGCACTTGAAAGACCTACCAATGTAATATTTTCCCGTTTTAGACACCGGGCTATTTCTTATGGAGACGGTGTACGGGGTTATGACACAATCTCTCACAACGTGGCTCTCAACAAGATACCCAGTTTCCGTAGAATTTCTCGCGNAAAGAGAGTGGAGGACTTCTTTACATTTAAATTTTTTAAGTGATTCAATTGTTATTTTCATTGTTATAACTGTAAATTACTATACTCTAGATAATAGTTGCCTTATGATTGTAAAATGTACTCGATTATTCAGTTCTTTTTACTGCATGAGAGTTTTAATAAACTATTCTTACTTTTATACATGGTGATCGGTCGTTTCGCTAGCGTCCCGTTCGCTAACGTCTTAAGTCGTTTCGCTCATGAAACAAAGCGAGCGCTACACATGTAGTATACACCTCGTTCTTTCAGCTATGACACATAAAAGTCCAATACAATACATCGTTTACAAACAGGACGTTGGCGAAACGACTTGTAGGTGAAACGTCCTAAAATCGGTATTCATAGACTACTTGAAATGATTTAAACGTTCAATTTTAAAAGCCTCAAGTTCAATTTAAATCTAAATTACAATACAAAAATGAATGAAGAGTTATGCCCGGTAAGATAAATATGTCAACTTATCGACAGTATCGTTCCAGGGTTTCATTTTAGTTTTTTTTGCACTCGGGGAAAAAGAAAAGAGAAAAAAAAAAAGAACAAGAACAAGTAACAGCAAACAAGTCAACACACACGTAGTGTTGACGCTGGAAATTAAGCCCGAGCCACTCGTTCTCCACCTGGGTGGGTTTGGTGGGGTTAGGGGAGGGAGACGGCGAGTGGTCTCAAGACCTGCACCTCCATTGCTCCCCGAGAGCATCAGTTTTTTTGGGGGGGAGGGGGAGGGTATTACTGAATAAGCACTTGCAAGACCTACCAATGTAATATTTTCCCGTTTTAGTCACCAGGCTATTACTTATGGAGACAGTGTATGGGTCTATGACACAATCTCTCACAACGTCGATCTCAACATGATACTCAGTTTCCGTAGAATTTGTCGCGTTTAAGTTCCCTGCACTGTTCACATCAGAAGACCCCTTCGTAGTATTCAGCCACCCTTCTGTAGAATTCAACGAAGATGAAACATTCCTGGACACGTTCCTGAAGGAACAGTTACTGAAGTTTGGAATCGTCCAGTTGTAATCAAATTTGTCAGTATTTGGTCTTTCGTTATACCGCAAAAAGACAGACATTTCATTAGAACTATTCAGTGGGATCACTTGAATATGAACAGAATAATTTGCAGAATTTACGTCCAGTGTATGATATTGGATAAACTGGTTGTCTCCTAAAGGAATGACGTGGAACTCTTCTTGTTTTGGTTTCTGGCTTGCATTGCGTGGAACGTAAATGTCGACATCGCCAGTAAAACTGGAAGTGTTCAGCGGATTTCCATTTTCGTCCCTTAGAATAAGGCCCACTAAAAATGACTTGACGTATTTGCTGCTATTCGACCAAGTAAGTGTGTTTTCAGGAGATGAACTCATCTAAGAAAGAGCAATCATCTTCGTTAGTTAACCATGTTAACTCCATCTTTCTTGCCAAAGACACAATATGATTCTTACACGAAGCAAGGCAAAAGAAGACAGAGCTGAAAGTGAGTCAGCTGTAAGCTGAAAGCTATCTATACCCCTTCTTATTCCGGTGCGTTGCTTAAACAAATGGGCCGCAATTAGACTTACGAGACAAATCCTTAAAAATTCTACATTTTCTGCAATACCCTTTGTTTACATTATTGGCCAACCTCGTCCCCTAGGGAGCTTCTCCTTGGCTTTGGAGGCAGAGAAACGCGCCCTAGGGACGAGGTTGGCGATCTCCCGCTCAGCCGCAGACAAGCGCTCTACCGATTGAGCTAATATATCCTGCCGCGGTTAAAGCGAATACTGACAATTGCTCAGGTTTTTGAAGAAGCTGTATAGGCGAATCTTTTTTTTTTACATTTTTTTGCCTCATGAACATATGCCTTTTATTTTTGTTATATTTTGGTTATTGCTTGCAAAGAGCTGAAAATTGCTCAAATATAAATCAAGTACTTCATAGCCCACGTTCGATATATGAAAATTCTAACATGACTCCTAGGCTTTAGGGTCAAAGTTGAATTTTTTTACCACTCCATTGTCTCGCAATTCCCAGAAGAAACTTGAGCACGAAGAAAACCAAACCAAATATAGAAAAATAATCAGAAAGCCTCAAAGTCATGTTAGAATTTAAATATATCGAACGAAGGTTATAAAATTTCGAAATGTTCCCAGACATAAGCAGGTTGTAAGGTATTGTAATGGCTAGAAAGAGTGTTTTTGAAAACATGGGAACTGGTTTTTCCAGTTTTGAAATTCTTTAGGAGCCGAAATTCCGTTAAGATCAGCTGAAATAGTGAGATTTAAAATAATAATAATAATAATGACTTTATTTTAGTGTCAATGTATTTAGCTTAACAGTTAGCTAATTGGGGAGACTTTCCTACGTACTAGCACACTAATTTATTACATGACTTTTCAATTTCAATTTCAATTTTCATGATCTTACCTAAAACCTAAAACTATACACAAATGTACACGACTCAAAATTTACACAGGTCACTGCAAAATACTTTTTGGCGGTTAATCTTAACTTGTCTTTTTGACTGTTGACGGTTACTGAAGTTTTAGGCCGTTTGACGGCCGAGAGTAAACCCGGGGGGGGAGGTACTTTAGGAATTTCTGGGTGGGGATGTGCCGTTGAGACCCTGGAACCCTTAACCTATACCAGAGCTAGTTCAGCTGATGAATTTTGTTACCCTATACTAGAGTAAACTCCCCAAATCCCCCATGTCCTAGAGTAGCTGTTTTCCAGAAACTACTGAGGTCACTAGCACAGTCTAGCCAAAACAAAACCTTATACCACAATCCCTAGTTTAGATAAAATCTTCAACCAACTGATCAGTTTCCTGAAAAATGATACCCTATTCTAGACCCAAACGCTCTGATTTATATACCCTATCCTAGAGTAAACTGCTTGAAAACCATACCCTTCACAGCGGCACATACCTATATAGCCCATATATGGCAGTACCCCCGCACTCGGGAGAGTAAACCCATTGAGACCCTCTACAAGTATTATATTCTCGTCAAAAGGTTTACACCTACCTGTGCACCGACACTAGAGTATTTTTCTGTTCCATTGGCTCCGTAGGTCATATTCATTTCCTCAAGCGACGGTAAAACAAAACTAGTTTCGCTATTTGAAACACCCGAGCCACCCAAGTCCTCCAAAAGCAGTTTCCTTAGAGTCAAATTTAAGAAGAGAGAGTTGATTTCAGCTGGGTCGTCTCCAGAGATGAGATATCCAAAAACAGCGTTGGCTAGCGTGTCACGAGCTTCGAAACATTTCAAAGTGCGATTTCTGGCCTGAAAAAGGAAAAAGACTCCACTTATTGATATCTAAGTAAACTAGATAATGAATTTAAAAAACTGCGCACCTCTTAGGTTTTCAACTCTATCTTTAAGGTGTCTTACAATGCTGCCGAAATCACCTATATTATTTATGGGGCAATAATTTTGCCGAAATCACCTATATTTTTCATGGGGCGATAATTTTGTCAACAAAAGGCGTTTCTATCATCAGTTTTTAGTCAACGCTGATCTCGTAGCACATGAAGTTATTATGGGGTCTTCATCAAAAGTTGTATATTTAATTTCTTAGTTTTGCTGTTTACTTATGAGGCATTTTAAAATAATAAAACTATCCGATGGATTTACGTGAAAACCTGTTGCAACTCTAGTTTTTTGAGTTCTCTCCAAACTTCTAAGTGTATTTATAACTTGATATACGCACAGCTAAAAGCTCATGATAAAGAGGGAGTGGTCGGGTGGTCGTACGTTCGGTTGGTCGGTGGGCGGGTGGTCGGATGGCCAGATGATCGGATGGTCGGATAGTCGGACGGTCGGATGGTCGGATGGTCTGTGGGCGGTTGGTCGGACGGTCGGATGGTCGGTGGGCGGGCGGTCAGATGGCCGGTTGGTCAGGTGGTCAGATGGTCCCGGGTGTTTGAGTGGTTGAATGGTCGTTTGATCGGGTGCAGGACTGGCCACAAACAGAAGCGAGAGCAAGACCTTAAGTGTGACTGCTCAGTAAAATAAAGATAAACAATTTCCAGGACTTTGGCAAATGGACGTTTACCAGAGGGTGAATGTTTAACTGAGTGATTGGCTCTGTCGAAGGGCTATCCCTACTGAACGTTAGCTTTCCAAACGAAGGTCATGCAAACGTCAAACTCTTTTTGAGACTGCTGGATCAAATGTTCAATTTAACTAAGCGTCGAACTCAGGCTTTGTTGACACAGCACCGGACGAATTTCGACTAGCTGAAAATTTTGACCGGATAGGGCGATTTTCGCATGACCTTGAAATGAAAACGCACGAACAAAATAGAAACAACAAACTAACGGAAATAGAGCGAGTTGATTGGTTTATCGAACGGGTATAAACGCGCTCGGCTTTTGGTTGGTTAAACGAACGCTCAGGTGAAATTAAACTTCATGCCCGACAACTTTCTAGAAATCAATCGATACTTCCCTTTGACGTCATACTGCAACACGATTGGCCAATCCAACAATGCCTTCTTCATATTAGGGCTTTCTTTGGCGGGAAAACGAAGAGGCCATGTTTTGATCTTTTCATCCATTGGCTGATAAAGCAAATAACGAACACTTACCGAAACCATTTTTCAAGGTCATACGAAAATCGCTCTAACGTGGTTCCATGTGAACGGACCCACCTCAACGTATGAGTTTTCAACCGGTCGTAAATTTTTCCTGTGTTGTGTGAACATAGCCAAAGTTGAAACGAAAAAAGATATGGTGCCAAAAAAGTTTAAAATCGTACGGAAGAACTCCGCTTTGCAGAAACCCGTTTATGACGCGGACATGTTTTCGTTGTCCTGAGGAGCAGCTCAATATAATTTTGTGTTGAATAAACCGCGGCATTTTTACATCGTCTGTCCGTATGAAACAGACGCACGGACAAGCGTCGAACTTATCAAGAACTTGATTACTATGGTTTGTTACATGAAAAGTTCGAAATTTGGACTTGGCCTCAGATTTTTTAATGGTAATAGATTTGCGTTACAGTAAAAAGCCCACATATAAGAACCTAGTGATTTAAGAACCTACAGGCTGAAATTTGGTATTTAAATACCCAAAAATATAAGAACCTGGTCAGCCTGGAAAAGAAAAATAGGTTCTTATACAAAAAAATCACTGCAATTTTGATGGTTAAAATTCTGGATTTTAATTGTGTGAGAAAATTCTCGAAAAAAGTTGTTGTGTTTCTTTAATTTACGTTTGTTTGGATTTTCACAAGAAATCTGTTTTCCATAAACCATTATGTGTCACTAGCACAATTTTTCTGCCGATGATTACACTACGACAACCTCTGAAAAATAAGAACCTATTAAGAACCTAATCAGCCTGAATTGTAAAAAACCTTCCTACAATATAAGAACCTGTTCAGCCTGACCACGAAAATTCTAGGCTTTTATATGTGGGCTTTTAATTACTGTATCAACTTAATCAAACTTATGTGTCTCCGCCCCCCCCCCACCTCCCCATTGCACTACAGTTTACTTGAAAGCAACGCCTTAATTGTGTGACTTACAATCTCCTTGCTAGAAACAATTCCCTCATCTGTTGAATTTCCGGCGTAACCAGTTATATTCTCGTTCGTGTTATTGGCGTCATATTTCGCCAGTAAAGATGACGAAGCCGCTAAGTTTCCTATGACACTAATAACAGCAGCGACTCCTTCTTGGACTTTAGCGAAAACCACGTTTTCCCCTGGGGATGAAGCTAATACTGAGGTCATCTGGTCGACCACCGACAAAACCGTTTCCTGTTAAAGAGAAAAAAAAAAACACACACATACACACATATTAGAATAAATGCTTACTAGAAATACGTATCTCGCAACCCTCACGAAACTCGGTTTGGTAGCGGCACTTAAGTTAAGCCTGTTAACCCAAAATTATAGACTAATGTAGAGGGTTATAATTCTAAGCGATTAGAGGAAGGTCATACCTTGGAAAGTATGTTCTCAGGTGATTTAAATATAGAATGGTAGTTCTAAACCATGTGAGAATGCTTCGGAGTGGTTTCTCCTCCCTCAACAATGACAAATTGGTCAGTCAAACTGGCTAATTGCTTATTTACTTTTAAAATTTAGAAGGAACATGTTAAAATAAATGTTTAAAAATATACACTCGGTTCAAATAAACTTGTCATATGGAAACTTAAGCCCCTTTAAGATAAGTTTGTATTGGTCAGTGACCGATAGACGTTACTGGAAGAATGCGCATCCGTGCTGTAAACGAAGGGTTTTCTGAGTGACTGTGCTAACTCTTTTAAAAGGCAGATTCATCGTGACATCACTGTCACACTTTGCATGGCTCATTACAACAATTGTTAATGCAACAATTAAATTTAAAGTTGTAAAAATATTTTTTTTTAGCTGTTTAACTTCGAATAATCTATACAGTAAGTTTGAAGATTTGTGCAAGCAGCAATCAAGAATACATTTGGCTCTCAAAAATTGCAGAATTGTTGGGTGGCAAAAACGCTCATTGGACATACATTCTTTGCAAGAATTCCAATATTTGAAACGCTTTCTGAAAAAGAATCTCTCTTATCGGGGTCACATTCAGAGATAGCAAATTCTACATTCTAAGGTACCTAAGAATGTCGAATTTGCTATCTCTTAATGTGACCCCGATAAGAGAGATACTTTTTCAGAAATCGTATTAGCCAACAGGAGCTACTCCCCTGTAAGCTGATATAACTTACACCAAGTATTTCTATTAGGTGTCATCATAGTAGAGGAGAGTGGTTATGAAAGCAGGCAAAAATCTAAGGTGAAAACAATGGTTCTGCAGTTGACGTTGGGAACCCCCTGATGGTGGCCAATACTCTGTTTTTTTGTTCTCAATTTGTGACGGAATAAATTAACGCAAACGTTTCTATTGGTCAGTTGGTTCAAAAAGATAGGAATGGTGCTGAACTCCGGAGGAGGGACTCTGCATATAAAAGGGGTGGGAATGCTCGTCGTCTCGCTTAGGGGTGTAAATTTCGGATTTTGGTCTCACTTAGGGTGTTCTGGGCAAAACGCCATCATATTTGGCCGTGAAGGTCTGGTTTAGGGTTGCACGTGAAAAAATACAAAAATATGTGTATTATCTGTGTTTTAACATGGTCTGTTTTAGGGGTAAAAAAAAGCTTGGGCTACGCCTGGATCGGTCTCTTTTAGGGATTTAATTCAAAATTTCCGACGAGCATCCCCACCCCTTTCATATGCGGAGTCCTCCCCCGGGGGCTTAAATAAGCACGGCGTTTTTGCTTGACGGACATCTACCGGAAGAGAGGCGTTTTTCCCTTTTAAACTCAACCCTGTCACATTTTTACTGCTTACTGTCTTCACTTAGAGAGACGATCTGCCCGAAAATTTGTGCAAAACGATAAAGGTTTTTTCAAGTTTCAATCCATGTTCATCCTTACAATCCGTAGCAACAGACAACGGGCAACAGTCTCAACTCCTAAATAATATAGTCTTTAATAATGGAACCGGACAATTACTTTTGGAATTCAGTTGATGTGAATGTTCGAAAATACATGGCTAATTAGCATGACAAAGCCCCTTCAACAAAAACATAAACAGGCTTAATAACCACTGCAATTTATTAACTTTGGTCTCATTGTTCAGGTTTTTACCAAGAAAGGATACCATAGAGAGAATACCAAGGGTCTACCACCCTCTCTTGTTTATCCTTGACAGAGGTTTTTCAATATATTGTATACGATCACGCAGTTTTACTGGGTACCCTGTGATCCTCTTACCCCTGCCTGTGTGTCGACTTCGCCCGGCTGTTGAGTCAAGCTATCTAACGCTGAGCCCACAAGCTTGATCTGGTCCACATTGGAAACTTCAAATTTAGCCACATTTTTTATGATTTCTTTGCGAAACTGGAAAAGAAAAGCAACTCTTTAAAACTATTGAAAGAAAACTCCCTCACACAGCTTTCTCTGTCGATAATTTCTTCAGCTCATTAAGTTATGAATATATGAAAATCATATATGAGAACTTCGGGGTGAAGAATTATATGAAAGAAGATCATGGCAGTTATAGACGTAACTTTTGCAGTTCCGAAAAGAAAGCCTGAAAAAAGAATTCATAATAATTCTTTTCCGGCTTTCTATTTGCAACTGCAAAAGGTGCGTCTATAACTGCGATGATCTTCTTTCATGTAATTCAGCTCCATTAATTAGTTAAAGATTACATTAGGTCACTTAGTCGTTACTATGACCCTTGGGGGTCGGCAAAATTGAAGGAGGATGGTTGGTTGTTAGGGGATGCCTAGCTGTATCGAGGTTTAGTAATGCTTTGGGAGCCTTACAATGCTGAATACAATGAGTGAAGTCAATATTAAGTCAAGTTAATATTTTGTTTCAATACAAAAGAGCTTTAGGAAACTCTTGCGGACAAATCAACGGAGTTTGTTGACCCGATATGATCTTGGGAAGCAAAACGAACTGATTTCCGCAGGAACAGTCATTGAGTGTTTAATATCTTTCTCAATTATAATTGGCATTGTAGAGCAAAAACTGAAATCTAAGTGTTAGTAGTAGTGCATCACCTCATGTCACTCTGAAAGTGTGTTCAGTTTTTTTTGAACCTGAAGTTCGAATTCATCCCCAACTTATCGCGGCAAGGAGAGTCTATCGTGGAGACTGCTGTCGCTTTACGATCGCGATAATCGCAGCCGAGTTGTTTCCATAAAATAGCTATGATTGCTAAACCCGGCTTTCTTTTTTGCAGTGATTATGAAAATTCTTGTGTGCAAGCTATAAACAATAAAAGCCATCCTTACCTCTTTTCTTTTTCCTTCCGTTATTGCCACAGCTTCCGTCTCGTTTTGACTCCTGCCCGCTTTATCTTGCCTGCTCATGAAGTTTAAAATCGAAGAGAGAGAACTGGCGATCTCTACTACTTTTTGCAAGTCTCCGGTCTTAATTGCCTCTTTCAAAAGTCCGTCGTCGTTACTTATGAAATGTGCAAGACCTTTCTCATCAAGCGGTGGAACGATTACCTTTAGGGATGTGAAAAAATACCTACCTTAAAATCAACAATGTTTAATACAATATTTCATTACCTTGACCAGCTACAAACCAACCCTCTTTTCATTTTCGAACACCATCCTATCTCGCTTGTCCCCCTTCACGCCAATTTGTTCATTCCCCATTCCTCACTTTTTTCTCTGCTTAATTCCCTCTTCCCCTCTTTTCCTTTCCTCTCTTCTTGTTTTATTCTCTCCCTTCTTTTTCCCTTCCATCCTTTCATCCTTCCTCCCTTCTACCCTCATTCTATCTCCATCCTCCCTCTTTTCTTTCTTCCTATTCTCAAAATGTAATATTCCTTCCTTAACATCTTCTTGGTAATGCCTGCCTTAATTAGCACCTTGTTGCTAACTGGAAAGCTCCCTCTACAATCCTTCCCTTTTTTCAAACACTTTTTATTACATCTTCATGTTTTTATATCAATGCACAAAAACACCGTACACATTCTAACCCTTCATCGCCGTATTTTCTCCTCACCTTAAGATCGTGAAAAACTGCTGTAGCAGCGCCGAGGTGATCGATTATGCGCATGCGCAAGGTGAGCTTGAAATCGTTGCTTTCGTGCCCCATGGGGAGAAGTATTGAAGATGCATTGGAATCTTTAGATACGTAAAAGACGGATGGCTGGAAATCGGTTAAGTAAGCGAACTCATAGGTGAAAGGAGGATCAGGATCGGCCCAGTCTGAGCAGCTTATTGTAAATGAGGTGTTCATGGCTATTCCGTTCTTTGGCGTGACAGTGCAAGTGCCTGTAGGAAAATCAATCATAAAGAACTGAGACATGAAGTGTAGTGGGAGAAAGGCTAAAAATTTCTGGAAAATCTTCCCATTCGTCTAAGATTTTGGGAGAAAGAGGTTTTTCACAATTTATCATTATGATATTGTGATTATTGATAAAACCGGGTCTCATGAAAAATTCGGTGAAGAGAAAAAACGTCCCCTTGAATCTTGTAATGAAAGTACGGCTACTCAGTATCCTCCATTTTTCGACCGTATCCATCAGGGTTGCTAACAGTTTCGGATGCGATGAGACGAAAAAGCCGCCTAAAACTTTCGAGACCATCAAAGTTCCCCTAGGATATTTGAACAGATTCATAGTTTTTAGGACAGCTTCAAATTAACCAAAGAGGCTTCTAGTAAAGAGAAAAACCATTTGAGTCATAGCCTGCGAATGCAGCCTTTTCTCCTTGCTCCTGGCCGCTTGGGACGTGTCGCCTAGCGACGAGGATCAAGGAGAAACGGCTGTATTCGCAGGCTTTTTAAGTCACCTCTGACGTTTTTGGAAACAATTTGCTAAAATTTCAGCTCAGGTTTGACCCAGCAATCACGGTGATCGAAACGCAGCTCAACGGCCCCTTTAGTTACATGCCGGCAAAAATCCCATTGCTTCGGTTTATTGCCTTCTGCAGCTATGACAGTTATATTACGTCCGGAAAAGCACAGTAATGAGATTCATGCTTTCTAGGATAGGCAACGCGAAGTTTCCTTTATAGCCCAAACATAAATTCCTTAAGTAAGGTCAAAGTTATGGGCATTTCTGGACAGCTATGACAGACCTCCTCGGCTTTAACCTATTCGCTCCTGGAGATTTTGCCGAAAAACTTGATTTGAAGCTAGCCGAGTGGTTTTATGGACACTCTCGTGCTATGAAGAGTTAAAACGTACCACAAACCGGTTTACAGGTCGTACACTTCGCGGCCTCGTGATCCAGATGCAAAATATCAGCTTGCGAAGTTGGAGCATTCGCAGAAAGCAAAATTTCGAGTTTTTGGGTTTAAAAGTGACACAGCAGTCTTGACTTTTACTTTTCGCTTTCTCTCCTGCCCTCTTTTTTCACTTTTCTTGCCTCATTTTTCTTTCTCTTGCTGGGCATTTAGTAGGCCTCGTTTTGGTGGGAAGAGTTTTTAGGAAAGCTTTTAGGTTCTTAGGATTAGGTGAAAGGAAAGGTAGGTGAGCAATGGAACAAGATTTTCATGGAGATTTTCAGGTCAATGTCACATGGTTTTTTTGCTTCTTTCTCCGGTATCCTTGACTGAATTGTGCTCATTCCGGTATGGTTTGAAAGATCTCTTCACTCTGCACAAGTTGGTGGACAAAGTTGTCCTTGATCGTTAAAACTGATGACGTCACAAAGGGTAGAAAGGACGTGGATCCGTACGGGCGGTTACAGGCGGCTCAGGGGCGATTGGGTTAATAATTCTTCTTATCATAGTGAGAACAACAATTATTTTACGAGAAGTGGTCTAAATTCATAAAATTAAAAAGAGAGTCAGGTTTTTTTTGTGCGTATACTGTCGTGCGGACATAATTAAATTAGAGACAAATTTTGGTAAAATCTTACCGTTTTCAGGTGGAGAGTTGGTGAGAAAAGTGTGAAAGTATTCGCCATATTGTCCGCTTGGTCGTATTGCCCTGAATAAAGCAGTATAATAAGTATCTCTAGCCATGTTGTCTGGTTTCACTGCCAGATCTAGTGATGTAATTGATGTAGTTGTGATTTGGTCGAGATTTAGAACTTCGAATTCTTTCATTTCTTTCGTGTCTGTTGGGTCTTTTATCTTGGAAGACGGGGGGTGACGAAAAAGCTTCCATACGAACGACAGTGTCCCAAAGCAAATCACACAGGTTCCCTTCAGTTGTAGCTTTTGGTCAATGTTGACCTTTGGTGGGCACAACGGAGTACAGCTACGGATCAAGAGAAAACAGGATTCAATGATTACAAAAGACATGGCCTGATACACCCCTAACGTACAACACGTTATCATGGTATGAAATTTTCTAGAATACGAACAGTCTCTCTTTTTCTCACTCTGTCGAGCGAAAAGCGCTAGACACGAAAATGACCACGCGGCTCGCTCGCGCGTGTACTCCCCTCACTAAAGCGTGAAATTTAGGGGAGAAAAAAGAATGAACTGTAGTACATTAAAGGAACAGCGAAAATTTTCTGCTATCTATATATAATACTGAAAGTGCGATCTTTTCTTTCCACGTTTGTTACATAACGAAGAGTCCGAGAAATCAAGTTAGACAATAATTGCCCCAATAATTCGTGGAAGTGACATAAATGTTCGCGTGCGTTGGGCCTTATTTTTATGGCGGTCCCTATAAATTGAGCAAAAAATTTAGATTTTTACTAAGCTTGAAAGGTTCTTGAAAAATTATAAAGAGGGGTCTTTAAGAGAAGGTCCTTCCATTGTCATAAATTAAAGCATTCAAGGAATCACCCACACCTGCTGGCTCCATGTGATCCCTTTACCCGTTGACTGATATGATGGCAATAAAACTAAGATAACTCGGTATTATAATCACAATTTTGCATGCGAAATGAAGTCGTGGGAAGCAATTTTATTCGTAGTTTTTTTCCTTAAGGAAAAGAATAAGTTTTCACGTTGAAAATGGTCAGGAAATCTATATTATAGGAAACAATTTTTACCAACAAATCTTAACGCTAAAAGTGGCAAAATGAGGCTTTTAGCCACTTACCCAACTCTCACTTCTGGGGGGTCCCCTAAAACAAGTTCCAGCTTTTGATTGAAGACAGCTTTTTTTGTAAAGAAGGGATTATGGGTATAGAGAACAAGCGTAATGATGTATCTGTAATGTAAATCAAAGTACATGGGGTCAAAAATGTATAAAGCGAGCTGAAGAAAATTGTCGATACGTTAACAAATGTTTTTCAGATCTAGACAAACAGGTTCAATGGTGACCGTGATGCAAATTTTACTGAGACAGAACGTCTACATATACCATCCTTAAAATGCTTGGGAAGAAAACTGAAATTAACGAAAATCTTCGATCAAACGCATCGCTTGCGGTTGATAACTTATTCGTCTAAAAAGTTACTGGATGAAACTGAAATAAATGGCAAGCCAGTGTTACCATGTCACCAGCAAAATGGCCGGTTTTCGTAACTCTACCATTTCCTGTAGGTGCCTAGGCACTAGCTAATGTGTAAACCAAAGGAGAACGCGACCTAATAGTCCCGTCGCATGAGCAGCATCAACCGTGTGGTTTTATAGAAAAGGACTGCCTGTTTTAAGAAAATCCCAAAAACAAACACTGAGGACGGAATATTCAGCAGCAAAACTTTTGGGTCTATTTATGTTCCCTGTATCAACGCCAATTCTCTGAACGCAGTTCATAATATACTAGTACACGTAGTTTCTCATGTAGAATTTTTTTGTAACATATTTTTGTTCATAACTTTGTGACAGTACACAGGACGCGCGTTTTCTGGGTAACCATTTTTGTCAGGAACTTGTTTGCCTTAAAAATTTCATGATGTATTGAATTTTAATCGGCTTTTTTGTAACAAATGTAATGTTGTCAGTTGTTCAAAAAAAAGGAAAAAAACTAGAACGCTTGGTCGCAGTTTAATGGTTATGTTGATACGTACGTAGAGTTTTCTGCCATTCCACGTCGTGAATCAATCTGCAGAAGAGGCCCTGTCAAGTTAAGCCGACCGGGACCTGTGCCAAAGCAGCCTCCCAGATTCTAAACAAAATCAAACCAAACAATTGGAATCAGCAAGACAAAAAATCAATGAGACACGCGTTGCAGGGATAAAGGGCGACTTATTTGATGCCGTGGACTGATTTCACCGTAGTTTGGAAAAAAAACCATGGCATCACGGAATTTCCAAAAATTGTGCCTCGCGAAAATAAGAATACACGCCTCGATTCGGTGAAAAAAAGTAAACGATGAAAAAAATAGCACGAAAGCACCCTTTAACAAACAAACATTCAAATCAATTCAAACATTCTAAATCAAATTAATTTTCTTGAACGACCGTACCTTCTGCCATTATTCTCATCATTAACGAGTTGGCTAAAATGACTCTTTCAGTTAATGGTTGTTAACGATGGATGACTTTATATTACCTCAGAAGCATTTTGGTTGCTGTAGTCCGTATTTAGGTCAGGTATAGGCACAAGTGGAATGTTAGAGATATTTCCGCTTGTGTTAAATGGAGGATCTGATGAATTACGACAAAGCCAATGGTACTGTGGAGTCGCTTGGTTAATGTCTGCATAGTCCGGGTCTTTAGAGGACCTTGCGTCCAAGGATATCTACATGAGGTAGGTAAACTTCAGTATAGATTACTAAATGGAGCTATTAGTTCCGTAATTCAGACTAAATTTAGTGACCAAAACTGGCTATCAAAAACTCCTGTAAGAAATAGCCGCTTAAAACGGCCAAAGAAGGTTGAAGCAGACAAAAGAATATACTGACGGAAGGAAATGGAGAATGCAGGTACTGCGATTTTTGTTGTTGTTTTTCCATGCTTCCAGGTTAATATGATTTGAGATATCACTTTGCATGACAGAGTTTGTTTTAACGAAGAGAGAGGAAATGATCATAGATCGATTAACTTTAAAGAGACGCATTAAGGACGACAGTTCTATAGTGACAGCTGATCCATCACCTGGGGTTTCGCCACTGCAAAGTAAAGAAAACACCAGAAAAGGAGTTCTAATACATACACACAATGTATACACTGTTTACAGGTAGCCATCACGACACCTAAAGGAGGATCATGAAGTTATCCCTATATTAAGATCTCTGTTTACAGAAAACCCACCCAAACCAGGAAAGGTTGCCCATACCACCAGGGTCTACGTCCCCTACTCTTTTCGAACAGTGGTGTGGGTTTTTTTACGTCCCACAAAAACCAGATACGTGAAAGTGCTGTGAGACGGGACCTACGGTTTTTCGTCCTTATCCGAGAAGACTAGAAAGTCTAACCGTTAGCAGACGTCATTACAAAGGCAGCACTTTCTTCCTCAATTATTGAAAGACCTTGAGTGCTGGTCAGGCTGGGGTTTGAACCATCGACCTCCCGCTCAGCAGACCGGCGTTCTCTCAACTGAGCTAATCAGGCGTTGGGTTAGCTTATGAGCTTAGAGAATAAAACTTTAAAAAAAAACTTACAGTACTTCCATACTTGGCGCGTCTTTTTGGCCCTCCTCCTATAGAAGCCTGCAAGGAATCTTGGGTAGCCACGACATGTATAAAAGCAACCGCTGACCCCGAGACTCCAGCAATACCTTCCATAATGATCGTAAAGTTAAGTTTGTAAAAGCCAAATTCCATGGAGGTTGCTGCTAATTTCAAATAAGACTGGTCATTGGTTTTTATGTTTACTGCTTTCTCCGCTTGCTGTTGATACGTGACTGGGTCTTTAGAGATCTTGTAAACTTCCCAGAGAAAGGTTGTGGTTTTTGAAGCCTCGCAATCAATCTCATTTTGAGTATTGATTAAAACAGATTCTGAACGTTTCAGCTTTTTTGCGTGGCTCACGTTTGAACCCACACCTAAAGAAAACAGAAAGAAAAACGACATCAATTTTCTTAAAAAATCAATTATCAGAAAGCCAACATTCAGTGACAGAGATTATTGACTTAAATCGGAGTTACAGTCAACTCTCTTGCAGCTCTAAGACGGTCACCTTTTCGACTGGCTCTAAGTGTTCGTCTAATAATGTCCGGTGCTTTATTGAATGTTTATATTCTGATTCATGAGTTGTCTGGGATAGATAGGGTGGGGAGTTTTGTTGCCTAGAAAAGGGCAGCCAAATTGCAGGTGAACATGGCCTGGTACAGTGAAAGGGTTCCAGCAGCACAATCCGACTTCACCTGGGATTTATGAAGGCTGAATGCATAGAACATCAAGCACCCGTGCTTTCCAAATAGGGTTAGAAGGAAAAATACATTGTAAACTGTATATCGTTTTGCCCAAATTTTCGGGCAGATCGTCTCTGTGAGTGAAGACAGTAAGCAGTAAAAATGTGACAGGGTTGAGTTTAAAAGGCAAAAACGCCTCTCTTCCGGTAGATGTCCGTCAAGCAAAAACGCCGTGCTTATTTAAGCCCCCGGGGGGAGGACTCCGCACACGAAAGGGGTGGGGATGCTCGTCGGAAATTTTGAATTAAACCCCTAAAGGAGACCGATCTGGGCGTGGCCCAAGCTTTTTTTGACCCCTATAAGACGCCATGTTAAAACACAGACAAATGAAAAATACAGTGACTTTTAGTGATGGCAAAAACATTGTCATCGAATACTTGGATTACTGATGAATGGAGTAAATAAAACGAATAAAAAATATACGTATCAAATATATATTTTTTATATTTTTTCGCGTGCAACCCTAAACGAGACCTTCACGGATAAATATGATGGCGTTTTGCCAAGAACACCCTAAGTGAGACCAAAATCCGAAATTTACACCCCTAAGCGAGACGACGAGCATCCCCACCCCTTTCACATGCGGAGTCTTCCCTCGGGATTTAAGCTCCCTTACACTGGAGTAGTACATACAAAGAAAGCAAAATATGAAACTCACCCACTATGGAAGCGTTAGGATAATAGCATCCTAATTTTAACGTGACTGACTTAAGCTCCTTTTCCTCACGTGAAACGGTATTGTTGGCGACGACTTTTACCCGAAAATCATCAACAGTTTTATAGATGTAGCGATGAGTAATACTCAGTTCACTTTCACTAGAATGATTAATGTACTTATGGTCTGGAAAATTAGTCTGACAATGACTTCCTCCAATCACAACAAACCCATGTCCATCGCCCATATTCATCGTAATGCATGTCCTTGTGCCATATTTCAAGAAGCTCAGTTCAAAAATTGTCGTACTATTGATCTTTACCGGGCTATTGTCTGTAATCTCCAGGTCCATCACGCTTCTTTCCGTTTTAACCGGAAACACCTTGGTCACGCGGCTTACCAGGTTAAAAACTGTCACGTTGGTCCAGTACTCTTTCTCACCTTCGGCAAACTTATAAGTGGTGGAGGAGGTGGTGGTGTTTTTCTCTGTACCGTCATCAAACTTCCACCAGAACGTGAGGTTGAAACCTTTGTCGGGCGTAGCTGTAAAGTTAACTTTATGTTCACAGGGAAATATGTTTTTGTCGGGTCCAAACCCGTGAATATTAGAGCCAAAATCACTAACTGTTGTGAAGGTGTTGAATGTCACGTTTGTGACGTCATCCTGGACAATGAGAATGATTGATCGATTCACCTCTGACACCAGATTCTTAGCTTGAAGCGTAACAGGGAAAATTCCATTTAAACTAACATTAACAAGTGGGTTATCTCCAATGTCGGTTTTGAAGGAAGAATAAATGTAGGGTGTCCCTTGAATCTGTAAAGAAAATGTCACGTTTGTGCCGTTGGTCATGGTCCAAATGACCGGAAAATTTTTTCCAAGGATCTTCGGCGGAATTTCAGGGAGTTCAAGATCTTCTATTGGCTTCTGCACTATTGCGAATAAGCTGAAGTTCGCCATACTCAGCCTGTTAGAACAGTTCACATACACGTCGTATCTCCCAACATTCGAGTAATTGTGTGAGACTTTGAACACCAAATTCCTGAAAGGAGCCTTCTCCGTGTTCACACCGTCTGCAAAATACGTCAAATTGTAGCATTCCTTTGCGAAGAATTCAAAGTTGTTATCGCCAAAGTCAAAGAAACATGCAAAATCGGAGCCTTCCGCCATGGTCATGCTGAACTCGACAGGATCACTGATGTTCGTTGGAGATGTCGTGACTTCTAGCGTGACAATTGGAATCTCAGGTTTGCAGACTTTCACGCTGGTACTGTTAATAGCACTGCTGACATCGTTGAATGCGGTAAGGTTCAGAACATAATCATCGTGAGTACTGTAGGAATGGTTGGCTATGGACACGCTTGATGTCAGGTTAGTTCCGTCACCAAAGTCATAGTAATACTGGCGATCTGTTCCATTAACAGCAAGTAGAACATTCAAGGTCCCATTAACCTCCAGACAATCAGTGGGGTAAGTTTTCTATAAATAAATTATAGGGATATTATTAGTTATTGTAGGTAGGTGAAGTATGATCGTCCAGTTGAGTGTAGTCCTGAACATAGATTTTTCAGGGTTCGTAAGTTTTCCTATTTGAACGCCTAGATTCGAGGTTTTAAAGGAAAATGGCGACCGGGATTGAAAGTATCAGGACACCCAACGAATATAGTTCAAAACCACTTAAACATAGCATTGTTGAACTTATTTTAGTATTTAAACTGTAGATATAGTCGGCATATTTTTATCTCCTAAAAAGTTTTCATCTGTTCGGATTTCCTAGCTGAACGTATAGACTTGCTACAAGTCGACCTCTTGGCGAGCGGAGCGTGCCTTGTTTGGCCGCGAAGCGGCCGACCGCGAGCGACGAAGTCGCGAGAGGTCCCGCGCCATATGAAATCCGACGAAGGACTTTTTTGAAAGTCTACTGAACGTATAGTGATCCGAAAATTATAGGGATCAAAACTTACCTTTTCGATCTCTACTCGTCTTCGGAACAGATATTTTCCGAAAATTGACGTTGGGTGCTCCTGAAGAATACACGGGATGCGGGATTTGCCCTTTATGAACGCCGGGATTCGGGATTTGAAAGCAAAACGGGGGCGAATTCAGGATTGAAAGTATACAAGGGATCGTGCGGGATGCGGGATTGCGTGAAAATAACTGAGGTCGGGATGACGGGATTGAAGAACCCTATTGGAAACTCCTTTAGCCTCCGAATACAGCCTCCAGTGACGTTTCGGAAGTGAGAGAAGAAACGTCGCTAGCGATGGTGAGAGATATTCGCAGGCTAGAGACCCTCTGAATAGGACTGTTAATCACAGCACCTAGCTGCATGGCAGGCGCGTGAACGGGAAGGAAGAGGGGATACTGACGTGCTCAAAAACGGATTGTCATACCCCAGGTCCCCCGGTGTCATACCCAAGCCATCTATTACAATGCGACAGTATAGCGCACATACCATACGTTCAAGTCCCTCAGTTTATCTTTTACCGCTGAGATTTCCAAGTACCTTTTTGAAAATGAAATCCCACTTAGCTTACCCTATCCCTACCCTCCTCTCCCTCCATCTTTTCCGACAACCCTCCTATTCTTTCAATACAATTGATACCATGAAATAGTAAGTAAAAATTACAAGCAGTGCATGAATATTCTGTTTGTCATTGTTCGTAAGGGGCTTTCAAGACTTCTTTAAAGGTCTTTTAAAACTGAGGTCAGTTCTCTTCAAGACATAAAGTGTCTCGGCCGGATCAAATTGTTCGCCTTCAGTAACAAAGAAGCTCTCGTCGTAAAAATATTGAAAGGCCGGAATGATGAAAAAAGTTAGGGAAAAACAGTCTCCGTTTTAGGGACGCATCCTTTTCATATCGGTGTTTACGGGTAAAGAGTCGAAAATAAGATAGAAAAGTAGCCTTTCATTTACGTGGCAAGGACCATATCTAAGTTTCCGATCTAGGGGAATGTTCGGTTAGAGAGTGTTGGGCGTAGAGCCTCTTGATTGTTCATTCAAGGGAGATTTAAAGCCTTGTGGTATACCTGAATGCTAAGAATCGTGACAGGATCTTGCACTTCTGCTGTCGTGCTGGCAGTTAACGTATGCAATGCATTCTGCGCGGTGATAGTGACATTAAAGTGGTCAGAAGTGGTGTAGTTATGCCAGACTGAAATAACGAAAATGTCCATGATATTGTCAATGTTGACAATCCACACAGGCTCAGATCCGTCACCAAAAGACACGGAGATATTGACCTTGCTTCCGTTTCTTATTTCAATGCCTATGTTGGTTGGGTAGCCTGTCTCCACTGGGGTAATGTTTTTGACGAATCCAAAGCCTTCGATTGCTTCAGAGACTGAGATCTTGAAACTGATGATGGCCTCTGAGAAGTCGTTCTTAGCTACAAGGACCAGACAGTATGTGCCAATAGATGCATATGAATGGGTTATATTCCGGCTGGTTGTATTTACGGTGGAGTTGTCACCGAAGTTCCACATGTATCTGTGTAAATAAAGAATAATTATATATCATAATTATTCCAAGGACCTATACGATAAGCATTGTAAAGTGAGGCAAGAGCCATGACACAGTGTTTGACAAGTGAAGGGAAGTAAAGGGAAACCAGGAATTAAAGGGTGTTTCTAAGAACCGAGAGCTCGAGAAATCGAGATTCTATTGTACCGTCCTGTACCGTACGCTCGCTCAGGCAGTGGTGGTGTCAACATTTTCTCAAAAAGCGTCTGGAAGAACTTGACCTTTAAATATTGCCAACCAGGGCGAGCTAAGTTATCCAATGATAAAAGTAGAATTATCTGAGGATAACATCGAAGTACGTTCAAAAACAAAAATTTGAATCTAAAAGAAATTCTTTGTTGAAGCTAGAGCAGTTTTCGTGTCAAACTATCAAAGACGTTTAAACTCGAAAACACCGCTTTTCAATAAAGGTATTCGACAGCTGCTCAAGATGAATACTTACAAAACGCCATCTCCTACATGAGGGGCGACAGCAAACTCTAAGGGAGCGTTTACGGCCTGAGCAGTGTTTGGGTAGTTGACGTAAATTGGCTCCCGCACTAGATCGTAAATCTTGATGTATCTTTGCACCTTTGCGGAGTGGCCAGCTTGATTGTACACAGCCAGCGTGACAGAATGGCCGGGTTCTGGGTTTGATGTCGAAAAGTATTTTTTCACTGTTTCGTTGGGACAGTTTAACACCTCTCCATCGCTGAAGTCCCAGAGGAACCTGTAAAATAAATGTAGTTACCATCGTTAGCATCCTAATTTTTGTCATTGCCAGTTCATTGACCATCATCGATCATTATTAATTATTCATCGGCATCGCGATATCGTCGACGTCATCATCATCACCATCATTGTCGTCGTAGTCGTCGTCATCATCATCATCATCATCATCATTATCATCATCATCATCATCATATCACTTTCATTCTCATCTACGTTTTCACCACAACCACCAATACTATCAAATCATCTTAATCTTGTCACCAAGGATCAAACTGTACAATTATTGTCGGCTAAAAATATTTAAATTCGTTTCAACGAAAGGGACATCGCCAAAGCTTATGTACATGAACTGAAGTTTTATCTCGTGTTTTTACTATCGAGGTTTGACTTCGTAAAGATAACGAGGTAACTTACGTAAAGTTGCTTTCAGCTGGGATTCCTGTTAAAGAAGTCTTTGTGATTTCCACTGTCTGGTTGGTTGCACCAATTTGAGGATTGAAAGTGAAATTAAAGTCTACAACTAAAATTGACGAAACTCAAATAGTTAGTGATAGACAATGGTACCGTTATTGAGGAACTAATTTTTGCGGACACGAACGCTCGTTTATATGAAGCACCTACAGTGACGTGACCTTCTTTACCCGTACTCACATTCTAAACATTATGTCCATTATGTCCAAAGAAAAAAGATCTTTTTTAATCATCAAACTTGCTCTCAGCAGTGGGCCTACGTGTCGTAGGTTTCACTAGTAGTGGGACATTCATGTACGAAACATTATCTACACTTATCTGGCTTATCCAGGATGTTTGTGACGTGAAACTAGCTTAGTGGTCTAATAGCTCTTACTAGTTTCGTATGGTTCATTGGTAGAGCATCTGGACTAGAAACCAGAGGGTTATAGGTTCGACTCCCATTGGAAATACTCGGGTTTTTTCTGCCGAGCTTCCTGTGTCACTGACTGAAAAAACACCTTTCACATTATCTAACCTGTTAAGAGAAATGCACTTTGTTTAATTGATGTTACTTTGCAGTGAAAGAGGCGATTGCTTATCCGAGTAACACATGCGGCCTGTTTTTCTCAGGAACCAGAATCACTTCGTTTAGCTATAGCTTATGTTATGAAATTAAACGGATCTCATAATTACCCTTTTTCAGTGTACTCTGTGCAGCCACCCCTCCTTCTAATTTTTTTTTGAGCTGATCGAGGGGAGGCTCTGTACAGGCAGTATTTCTGGAAACAAGACGAAGTGTAACCGGACATAATAAACTTCTTTTCAAAATTACAGCTCTTCATGCAGTTTAAGACTGTAGACAGTATTTCACAGGTTTCCTGTCAAATGAAAGGTTAAATGGCCCGTTATCCTATCTAATTACCTGATAAAATCTCGAAACACTCGCTAGTCAGGACACTGATAGCATTCTCTGCCATGACGTATACATCTTTCTTGCCGGGCATTGAACATTCGATAGGAGACACGGTCCAATTTTGCGTTTTGTTCAGACGCCAGAAAATAATGACCTGATCCTGAGGCGGAATCACCTGTACGGAGATGTCTACGAAATCGCCGATTTTACAAATTGTGCTGTTCAGTGATGTTGTCTGAAGAAGAGGAAGAAGAAGAGTAGATGTTTCATGTACAACGATGTTTCGTGCAATTTATCAAACACGACAAGCAGCGTGATCCTGACACCGAGAAGTGAGCGCAGCCGAGTTTAAATTGACTAAAAATTCCGGGGTTACTCAACAAAGTTTTATGTGGGAAAGGCCCGCCCCCGAGGTCAAATCCCTTTTCTCTTTAACTATTGTAACTGGTCCAATTGTTTTTGATATGAAGAAATTGCCAATACATGATATATTCCAGTCATTTTCATAAAGTTTTTCATAGTAAAAAATGATACAGCCATAAGGTGCCTCTTTTTCGAAATGTTTTAATTTAAGACTCTTTAAATACCTAAAGGAAAAATGTCACTTTTCCTGACTATAAAAATGATACTTGAACTCGTGAAGTCCCTACCCTTTTGTAAACCTGCCTAAAAAAGGACTGCTTTTGTGTGGAGCCACCCGTGTAGGCCATTCTATGAAGTAACCCCCAGCCCCATAGCTTACCATGTTTTGGATTGCGTCTTTGACCACAATAGACTTTGTAGCATTACCACATAAAGAGGACGATGACGATGACGACTTTGATTTGACTTCAACATCGTAGCTGCCTGATCTGCTGTAAGTGTGAGATATGATCTTTTGTGGATTGTCTAAGCTTTGTTCAGGAGACGAGTCGCCAAAATTGACTGTATAGTCGTAGTTACATGTGTCTGACACGGTTAAGTTGAACGATTGTCCTGTTCTTAGAATGTTGGCCGTGATGTTGAAGAGCGCTGAAAGGCAAAAGAAACCCTCACTACTAACAGTAGCCAAATTTCAATTTATTACAGCATTCAATTTTTGCCATGTGTAAGTAGTACGTGAAAATTTGTCATTTGAATTCCTATCACACTTTAGATTAAAAAAAAATAGACTGAATTAAATAACATATCGGAATCGTACTCGGATAGGTTACAACTAAGTACACAGTGTCAAATAAAAATTCATAGCTCATCTAGACAAGTCTCAAAGCATTTTTTCCAAAGCATGTACAAAAAAATTGGGTTTTATAATTGTTCGGATTGTTTCGATGAATCAGGAAGCGTTGAGTGACAATTTTGGTCCACAAGCTTCATAGTTAAGTCAAATTCTCCACACATGTCCAATACTCACCACTTGTTCAAGTCGTCAAGTGTAAGAATCAAGTGGTACGAGTCGTTAAGTTGTGCTATTGGTTCAAGCGGTAAATATGATACGTTTGAGTGAAATAAAGTGCAGTACATGACTTGGCTGCATCTCATTCGACAACTGGACAAGTGTACAGAGGTGGTCCTGTCAAGTGGTGCGACTCGTTTGAGTTGTACAACTGGTGAAATAGCTGCTCATTGGCGACGCTTAGAATTTGTGAGCAACGTTGTCGAGAGGGGGCCCTGTCAAGTGGTACGATTCCTACGAGTCGTGCAACTGGTGTAATTAGCTCGTGAACAGGAAATGCGAACGCATACGCTATGAATATTCTTCGTTCTATAAGCTTCATAAACGACAAACATTCGATGCATGAAAACAGGGTCCCCCTCACGACAACTTTTCTCTCAAATTCTAAATGTGTAGAGAGGATGTCAATAAATCATATGGAGGACGTTGCCCATGGCAACAAGCTACATAAACACTATCACTTTTTAAAAAACCCCCATAGTATAAAATTTTCTTATTTGCGGTATTATTTCTTAAATACGAAGTGCCTTCAGTTTGTTAGAGTCTATCTATTTGCATGCTTTACAACAATGGAAAGACAGAATGCACATCCATTGGCTTTCGTTGGGATTTTTCACCAGGTCACTAACAGTCAAATTGAGCTGATCAATCCTGAGCGACGACGTCAAGATAAGGAGTTACAAGACGCGGAGTGTCTTTTATTCTTATTTTTTGACACCGTTTCTAGCTGGCTCTACATTAGTTATTAAAGAGCCAGGATATATATTATGTTATAAATGACGCCTGATAAATAACAATCCTTACCATCAATGGATGCTGTAAACTGCAATGCCTGAAAAACATTTAACAATTACATGTATATGAAGGTCATGCCCTTGAAGAGGTTATTTTACAAAAATTAATGGATTTTAGAATGATTTTCCAGTAATATTACTACCTCGCAACTTTACTGACGCCATGCTACCCTATTATGCAATGAATGTAGTCTATTCTACCATTTTAAATATCAACAGTAGCTTTCACAATTTTAAGCGCTTGAATTTGTTTTAGATTTGTAAATAGCACGTAACATTTGCTGAGTTAATCAGCAAGCTAAAACTAGCGGGTGCTGATTGACGTTGCGAGACATCTTTGCACTAGCGCGTGGCAAGTAGATATTAGCAAAATGGGGGTTTTATTTGATACCATACAATGAGCTGCTTTAACACATTGAGGTAAAACAGTGGTAAAGCATTTAGCACTGAAATTTGATAGCGTATTATACCCTGTACAGATCGAGTTTTGCCAAGACTTCAACAAAACATCACCATTTCTATGAGAGGCAGTTTGATTGCTGTGGTTTGGCCATATGTAAAGGCTATATTACATGAAGTTAGTACAAATCAACTTTATCATTTCTTCAAAAAGCACAAATATCAATTGTAAAGTGTTAACAAGACACATATTAGACTGGGGTGATCGTCGACCGCCGGTAATTCGCGACACAACGTAGTAAAACAGTCAGAACTAGAACTCACCATTAAAAATGGTCCCAAGAGGAAAACGTTTTTGCTCTTCATTCTCCTTTGAGTTTAAAACCAACTGTCTTTCATTTCTCGTAGTAAAAGCTGAAAACAATAAAACGACTATAAATTGACTGACTGTGAATAAATACGTTGTAACCATGCTTTCGCGAATACGGCGAATAGCTACATCCTCAAGAAGGCAATCTAACAGAATAGAAAACATGTCGAGTTTTCAAATGCATTTCAACCGGTCTTTACAATAAACCTGCACCTGGAGTCTGTAAACTTTGCAAAAAGAAACTTTTAAGTTTTTCATGATCAGCTTCATTGAAGGTTTACGCTTACATAGTTTAAGAAATCTTGGCATGGTCATAGACAATTCTCTTTTTGGCAAACACCTAATAATTCATACATAGAAATATTATTCTGTTGTGTCTCCTGCCGGGTAAAAAGTTTCAGAAGACTTAACGTTTTGGAGATTAATTTCGAGATTCTGTTTCTGGCCCATTAATAATCGTAGAAAATATTTGTCCAATTTTGTGCGAGTCCTCACCTTCATTATCGTTTTACACGGTGGTATACAAAAAGTTAATTTGTCCGATGGCTTCCTTTGAAAATTGAAGAGACGTTAATTTTTTTTAAAGTAGACCGTGCAGGTGTTTTTAAAGTGTCTCTTTCAAAGTCATCAAAACTCAAACAATGATTGCTTCTCGTTTGTTTCTACCCCCAAGCATTCTAGTAATCACTAATATTACCTTAGCGGTGTTTAAGCACACCAGTTCATAAAAAAATATTATTATGTATACAAAAAAAATTTTCAAGTCGCACAAAATTATGTGCAACTTTAATCGGATAGTCTAATGTGTTAGTCGGAGCATGAGGGGTCTGTAACACCTGCGGGTTTATGTATGCATGGGAACACGAAGATAAACCCGCTCAAAAACATGTACAGGGGCACCCAAAAGGAAATTTTGAGAAAAAGACCTAAAAACAACAACAAAGCATGAATAAAGCTTTTTGAAGCCATTTTAAGCATTTTGGAAGATTGCTGGGAAAAATTTATCTGTTCCTCACTCCCACCAAGACTGATGGAAGATGACGCAATTCTAAACATCAAATCCCCTCAGACACTCTGAATTGCCTTTTTCCCAGCAACACTTTCCTTCCAAGGACATATTATTTCTCCCAAATCTCCCAGCCAGCAAAAATTTGCTTGAAGAACAGATATTTTGAGGAGAAGATCCATTGTGTGCTCCTGCATGTTCAATTTGAGTCTTTATAAACTGGTATAAAAAGAAAGCTTCATTTTGTTTAAACTTTCTTATTTAAATTTTGTGCTGTGAAATAATGAATATTTAAAATCGTATATGTCCCAATAAACGTTATTTCTATTGTCAATGACATATCAGAAAGCAAATTATTTTTTTATATAAAGCCTCACAAAAGAAACTTGGAAATTTAATTGGTCTCAGTGAAAGAAAAATCATCTTTTCTAGCTTAAAATTTTGATATTATTCCAAGGAAGCTGATACTTTCAACTGTTAAGTTGATATTCTACTATCAAATGCAGACGTCACTAAATATGTAATATGATCATAGGAGAACTTAACAACTAATGAAATGTTCATCAACTGGAACCTGTCAGTTTAAAACTATTAATGTTATCACAACCTTACAGTCCTTACATCCTAGTATAAGCATATTTATTATAGGCTGAGTCTGTTTTCGCCACGTGATTGGTCTATTTGCGGTCCGTAACTTGCTATACGGACCAAAATTTTTAAAGAAAAAGCTCATTTCGGAGCTCTAAATCTCTTTACCTCGGAAAAAAAAGGTTTAAATAAAGTTATAAGACGCCTGTCAACCTTGAGGACTTTGATGTTGACTTTGGCCTTCAACATTTTGAACTGTATTTATTTGTGAACGAAGGCGATGAAGAAACTAGCTCGTAATCTTATCGAAGAGGATTCTAGTCAGTGTTCGAAAATTTTATCTCAGTACACAGTTAAGAAGACGAAAATCGACTGGCAGAGATTCGAGATGTTTCGCCTAAGAGAAAATGAGTAATTCCTTCGAAAAATATGATAACAAACATACCCGCACCCGATAATCTTGACAAGCTCCTTTGCCATTTGCACTGTTTTTTCAAAGACCAACGAAAGAAAGATAGAAGCGTGTTCGAGCCAGACACAATGTCCAGTTTTCAAAAGACTCCAGCGTCACATTAACGAGTGAATACTTACAGTGCTCTTAGTTTTGACCGAATAAACTTTAAAATCTGTCTGGAAACCCTGAGGGCTGGGAGGTTGACTCTGCCTTTCCAAATTTTAACCTAGCCGTTGTTTTAATGAGAACGAAGCTGATGTAGGGACTGAATAGTAACCTTACCGAGGAAGAGAATTCTAGTCAGTGTTTGAAAATGTTAACGCAGATCACAATTGAAGACGAGAATGAACTGGCAGAAAGAGAGGTTTTCCCAAAAACAATTAACGAGCGAATCCTTCGACAATGACAACAAACTTACCCTGAAAGGTTTCTTTGCCTTTCGCAGTGGAAAGATGGAAACGATTTCTAGACAGACACAGTATCCGGTTTCCAATATACTCCAGCGTTACATTAAAGAGCTAACTTACAGTGCTCTTGGTTTTCACCGAATAAACCTTTTTTAAAATGGCGAATTTGTCGTTTTTACTTTCTCGGAAAGCCTTTTTTATGTGCCATTGTTTTCGTGCGCCAATAAAAACTTTCTTTTTTGACGCCTGTCTAATGACTGTCAAATCGTGCGTCCTGCACTTGTTTCTGGTCCCCCAAACAGGAAGAAGCCATATAATAAACATCTTATTAGCCTCGTTTTCTCGGTCTGTACTGTAAATTACGGATCCTCGTTTTTTTCAAACGATTCGACAGTACGGACCGAAAACTCGGCAAATAAGAGGTATATATTTTTTGAAGTTCAAAATTTTTCAAAAGAAGGAAAATGCGTTTATTCTCCCCGAGTTAGTCAGTTACCGGAGATGAAAAAAATCGCTAAAATCGAATCGGAACTGGAAAATAACCTTACAGGAAGCAAAAACACATAAG